CAGAGTTAAAATTTCTAGATATTTTTTTTTAAATTTCCAGATATATCATAAATTATGAAACGTACTTTAACAATTACACAATCTAGAATGAAGGCTTGAGTTTTTATTATAGATTTGCACAAGTCTGGATTTCTATTTAGTTTCTTTCTCCTTCTATCTCAATTTTTAGAATGATATAGTTATTTATAAATGTATCCATCGGAAAGTGTCTACCTCTAGCTTGAATTCGAGTTCTCGAAAGTTTGAAAATTCGCTCAGAAATACATATTTAAATCGATACTTAGTGTCCCCTGAAAATTAAATCATTTTTCTCTGAGCTCGTGTCAGGATTTATTAACTTTTTACGTGATATCGATGCAGCAAATTTTCCTGGCCAATTCTGTGCTCTTTGTTGATCTTTTTTGCACTAATCATATCATGTAGTGGGAAAGCGTTGAAGCTTGTAGATAAGATTATCAAGAGTCGATTTTGTTCAATAGTTTGAGCGTTCTGCCGCTTGGTTAACCTTTTAGGTACGGCTGAATTCTGAGCGAGGCTATTTCTCTGGACGGCAGAGTCTGATGTGTACTGTACAGAGTCTGGTGAGTGACGCCTCGCGTCAGCCGTACTCGATTCTTATTGGTCACTGTTTTTCGTTAATAACTCGTTAACGGTGCCTCGGAGAAAATTTTTGTAAAGGAGAAAGTTGCTTCAAATGATCCGAGGAACCCGCCATTTCCGGATTCCGAGACAGTTTTGGGACACCCTGTAGACTGTTGTAAATCGATGTAAAGACAAAAGAAGTGTGAAACAATGCACATGAAGACGATTATTTGGTTCAAACGATGAGCGAGTGAGCTACTAGAGCAAACCACTAAAGCGGCGCGTCGTTCTGAAAGATGATATCCGCGGAAGCCACTATAGTGACGCGTCGGGCCTAAAAGGTTAATTGGCGCTGTACAGATTCCCAAATAGGCATTGTAATTTCACCACCAGAGGCATCACTATCGCTGCTGAAATTTCATGTAATTCACTCTGTCGAATTTTCCTGTGTGCTGCAAGGTCGATGGCAAGAGGCTTTTTTGTGGATTTTTAGATTGATAGAGTGCATTAAATGAGCCGTTTATTTTGAATGAAACGATTTTTTTTTAAATGAAAAGATACCGTTCAATTGTAATTAGTGTTACCATTAACTCGATTTTTTTGAAAAAATGACTTATGCCACTTTCAAAATAAACGGCTCAAATAAGTAAGTCGCGCTCTGCGAGTGCATCTTTTTATCGGCGCACTGGTCGAACGTTACGAGTCTTCTTTCGGATTTGGTCGGGTCGCTCGACCAGCGCGTAACGCCGATCGCAAGGGTCGGCCTAGCAACGCCGGACGCCTTAGCAACGTCACGATGTTTACATCGCGACGCTCAAGTCGCACGCACGCGTGCGTCGCGTGTAGTTAACTCACAGGAGTACGGGAGCACTGATCGGCTGTTGTGATTTCGAAGGTCGCTCCGAAATCGTAACGCGCTCTGGTCATTAAACTTTGGCTCCTATAATTTTCGTATTTCGTATTATTGAACCTTTATCATTCTGTATATTATAACTTTGTACAATGTTACATATGTATTACAATAACCTGATGATGAATTGAAATTTTTCATATTTTTTGCAGTTATTTAAAAATTGTCGTAAACAAACCTAATCATAATGTGTCAAGGTTTTCGGCGGTTTGCAACTCGTGTGTTCCACAGGCTCCTCTATTTAATAATAACAGCCCTTTTCGGGGCCACAAATTTATGCAAGCTGGAAAGTTCGTCCTTATTCGCTCCAGAAGTGATAATGTCGATGCCCGACTAAAATACAATTTTTTACGTAATCCAGACCCACAAACAACGTCTTATATTCCAAGTTTCGTTGTAGATTGCGGATCAAAATTTCTACTAGACGTTTTGGAATTGTTTCATATAGTTTCTTAATCTTTTCTGCCGGTAAATTGTTCCGATTTTCAATAATTCTTAACTATAATTCTCTAAAACTTTGAGTTTGAAAATTTTTTGTAGGTAATTACTAAATTAAATGTGTAGTCTTTCAAAGAGAATATGAATGCAAGTTTCAGTTTTGTTTCTTAAATTTTGGAAATCCTTCTCATGGAATAGAGCATTGATTGCTATCCGTCACAATTACACAAGTACTGGGATTGCTGAATTAACAAAATTTTGTAGATTTCTAAACTAGAAAGTATTATTTAAAATGTAGCTTATGGGTTTTCGGAAATTCTAATAATTGTAGAAATGGTCACCGTTTCAAGACGTTCGTAAATACGCTGGACTGTTGTAGGTTCGAGAATCGTACTGGGCGAAAAGTACAAGTTGAATATCGCGCCACGTGTTTCAAATAGAGCCACAGGCATACGAATGCGCGAGAAAAGTGAGACCGCAAGCAAGCACGGTATGTGAGCAAGCTACATTGGTCGTCGGTGTGACTTGTTTTGCTAAGGTTGTGCTAATGTCGTGCTCTTTTGTTGACTCGCCAGTTTCTTTCTTTGTCTACAACTGTGAGGGCAGCAGAGTTAGCTGTGCAGCATAAATCAATCAGAGAAGAAGCAGTTTCTTTACCTGCTTCATAATTCTAAGCAGGTTATGGTGAGGAGCTACTGTACTATGGTGATATAGAATTGTTTGGTATGGTGAGATATGACGTATTTACTAATTGGCGGATACTGAACTGAGCTTCTGAATTCTCTCACAAGAGACACCGCAGTCGTTTTAATAGTAATTTGAATTGTGTTGATTTTCCGTATATTTTATTGTAAAAGTGGTAAGAAACACATGTTCTACCTTCAATAATAAATAAGCTTGTATTTCTGTACCTTCAACAAAAAATGTTTAATATCTAAATTTACAAATTTCAAGTTATCTGTAAAGATATATGCATATTCTTCACGTGTATTGAGGTTGATGACGTTTAATTATGCACTATTTCAATGTTTCCTTTATTTATTTACGTTAGACAATTTATAGGTTTAAGTTCCACGTATCCATGCAATATCGAACAGTTCCTGCATCATGTTTCGTACGAGTGGTATTATTTGTTTTCGTGAAACGCGTAGATTTCCCTGGTTGACGTGCAGCATTTCAAATCTTCCATGTTCATCGATGAACGTGCTTCCATCATATAATTGAAGGTCCGGATCGCTAGACCCAAATATCAGGATTCTTAGCTGTTCGTTAACAATTGAATTATTACTCAATTAGTTAATCGATAGATTCTCTGCGAAGTAAACGCGAAATATTAGCTACTAGACAAACCTTTTCAAAATCTTTATGAAAATTTCGTTGCGCTGTGCCTGCATAGGAATATTTGGTAGTGTCTGGATTGGAAGATAGGGAAAAAATAGCGATGTCTCTTCTGATTTGGTCCGATTCAACTAGCATGCCAAGTAGAAAAACTATTCTGGCTTTTCTGGCCTCGGCGAAATTACAAATAGCATCGAACACTCCTGGAGATTCGATGAATTTCTAGAATCCGAGAAATGAGTCGTATTGGAAATTAAATAAACGATAAACTATAAAATAATCTTTAAACAATACTTTACAACTTACTCGAACTAGTATTGGGAATCCAACAATTGGTACTCCAGCGACCTCTTTCACGTCTCTGATCAATAGATCGTCGAGGCTTAATTCACTAATGTCATTTTTCGCTTGGATAAGACCGTCATATTCGTTGTCTCGATTGTGAATCGGACAAGCTATATCTTCGAGTTTTTTTAACGTTTCGAGGTCGGTCGGAGTGGCGCGATTTGCCTCTTTTGACAGGTTACACGTGTCGATCAAGATCGGACCTGTTGAAATAACAATTGGAAATCGAGCGATGGAACCAATTGTTACGTTTTAATTCGTTCCGTATACTAACACACTGAAATATTGTATACAGCGATAGCAATTTAATTCGTAGCCAATCCAATTATCTTGAGAAACATAATCAAATTAGTTCTTTTCTAATGATCTTATCCTGAATTTGATATGAATCTGAGTGTTAGTAATTTCAAATTACTAATTTTCCACCAGCCAATGCAACATGAGTGCTACCGAACTGTCCCCTTTTAAACTAAATGTATCGTTACAAAAGATTGTGTCAAGTTTGCTATTAATTTAGAAACGCAAAGCCAAATACTCAGTCATCCATTTTCATATTCAGCAAAGATATGGCACCAAATTGATATAAACTTGCTCACAAGCTACGCTACCAAGCAGTTTACATGTATTTGGTCGAAACAGACTTGACTGACCGGGTCTGAATCACTGAATAAAAGTTAATTGAAAAAATGCATCAAATCGCTATGTATACGGTAATATATTATGGAATGACAAAGAGGAAATATAACAGTAGTAAATGTCTCGCCTCGTAAAAGATTCGCTATGTCTGAGTTTATGATTGGTAAATGTTCGACGAGGAAACGTTTTGCCACCAAAGTCGCGCAACTTCCTACAGTCTCTATGCAAACGTCTATATTAGGCCACGGCCAGGCCGGATCCCGTGGTCGATGATCGATCACTTTGATTACGGAGTCTTTTAAAAAATCGTCTCCCTCAGAGAGAGTGTGATGATCAACAAGTACGACATCCAAAGAACTAGCTGCACTTTTCTGTAGTTCTTTTAAGTCTATTTCATCTCTGCAAACGACAAGAATAATCGATTATGACATCCTAAGCAACGTGCATGTACGTGCGCGTAGGGCTCGCACACGGATAGATACATATTCCCCTTACATACGATCTCAACTTACCGGAACGTCAACAAATCCGGAGGAATGTCGTAACGTTTAAAAAAATACGTCACTTCTGTTTTAACGCGATATTCTTTCCGCGGTATATTCATCAACGGAATTACGGCTAAATAATATGTTTCTGGTCCAGGTTTCGCATCCAAATACTCGTATAAACCCTGAACCAGTGCGCATACCGCGGAATCCAAGTCACATGTACTGTTACCAAGCACAACGCAGACCTTTTGGTATCGCCATAGATTCGACTATGTAACGAATATTTTCAAGCTGTCAATTATATTTCTGTTCTAAGTACCGAACGTTTTATTTTAAAGATTTCGCATTTGACTGATAACACTAAAGCACAAACATGAAGGAAGTAATAGAATCTACAATTTCGTGCGAAGACCGGACTGCGGCACGCAAATGCTACTGGTGGATACGTATGTAATGATAATCTAATTCTTGCGGTTTGATTACATTTGGAGCGAATACTGTATGTGTATGAACGATAGAAAGAACAAGGAATCGCTTCTACGCGTGGAAAACCGAATCAATTAAATCCGGACATAAGTATTGTGTTGGTTATAAATCATGACATCCCAATAGAACCTTCAAAATCAAAGGTTTATTGTGTATAATCAACAAGCATTGTTGGTTCTTACAGGGCAGACAGATATTAGTATTAAGTGATAGTTACCAAAGCTTTCTTGGATTCCGTAAGAAACGTCTTCATGCAATCCATAATTTTTCCGTTTCTGCACAAGTGTCAATCGAAGTGCATACTGTCTATTATGTGTTATTGTCGTTACGATCAGCTACGACTGCACGCATATGTGTGTGCTATGACGCGTGACACCGGCGGTGCTCGGAAACGCTCGATTTTGATCGGGAACGGTCGGCAGTGCTCTAAGGAGGTTGACGGTGACCGCTTCAATGTCAGTGTGACAGTTCGTTCCGACAATCGGTAAAGGTTTTTTCTATGTCAATGGAGCAGTATTCCTTTTGAGGAACTTAGTATGATGACGTAATTATTTATAAATAGATCTATTGGAAAGTGTTTACCTCTAGCTTGAATTCGAGCTCCCGAAAGTTTGAAAATTTGCTCAGAAATACATATTTAAGTCGATACGAAGTGTCCCTTGAAAATTAAATCATTTTTCTCTGAGCTCATGTCAGGATTTATTAACTTTTTACGTGATATCGATGCAATAAATTTTCCTGGCCAGTTCTGTGCTCTTGGTTAAACGTTGAAGCTTGTAGATCAAATTATCAAGAGGTGATTTTGTTCAATAGTTTGAGCGTTCTGCCGCTTGGTTAATTGGCGCTGTATCACCAGAGGCACCATTATCGCCGCTCTAATTTGATGTAATTCACTTTGTCGAAATTTCCTATGTGCTGCAAGGGCGATGGCAAGAGGCTTTTTTGTGGACGTTTAGGTTGATAGAGTGCATAAATAAGTCGATGATTCGATTAATAGTGTTAAGAGTGTGTGAATTTAATAACAGTAGATAATTAGTTTATGTGGTAGATAAAGTTGTGAACAAAGAGGACATATTTTTGAAGCCTGGATCTTTGGGGCCATTGGCGCGCCGCGTGGGTGATCCCAATATGACGCCTTCCAATTTAATTCTGAGTGATGAAAAGATGGTAGAGAAGTCAGTAGTATCTTCTAGAAATGATCAAGAAAAAGAGGGAAAAGATAATAATAAAAAAAGAAAAAATCCGAATACGTTAGCACGAAAAACACGAGCAGATAAACCTCCATAAAAGAGAGATGCTCTAATACAATGAATATAATAAAATTCTTGAGAGATAACCTGTCCAGAAACGCTGGATTATGCCTCCTATACTGACTTTTCAATAAAGGCCAACCCCATTAACAAATTGAAATTTATATCTATCTGTCTCATATCATTATTATAGCTCAGCTCTGCTGAAGAAGTAGAAGAATTCTACTCCAATTCCTAATACTATATTTAATGAACATTTGAAGAAATATTATAAAAATTATATGGGCATATATACGGATGGATTCAAGGCCAAAGGGTTAAATCCATAGGAGCAACTATCACCTATCCTGAGGAACAGATGTATTATTTCTTAAGCATCTGTGTTCACTGTAGAATTTGCAGCTATATCAAAAGCATTGGACATATATGGCCATATTGAGGGACCATTGCTGATCTGCTTAGGTTCCTTGAATATAATAACCAGCCTTAATAAATCCACATCTATTATTAAAACAAATACCATTTGCTAAATATTAAAAAAAAGACACTTGACTTAGCAAAATTCAGAAGCGAAGATCATATAATAATAGGGATATGATCTCCTCAGAGATTTGGAGGAATCAGATTCAATGATATAAGTACCTAAGACTCGCCTCTTTTCAAGAGGTATTTACAGACAGTCTTGTATCTTCTTACATGTGGTTTGGCAAGAATGAGTACCATCCACTATCCACAAAAATAATATAAAGGCTATCTATTGTAAGGATTATTTGTTATTATTACTATATTTATTATTATATATTAGAACATTCATATGAATATGATTATTGAAATAATATTGCAGATGCTACCTGCAGTATATAGTAGATGTTTCTCTAAGCCTATTCACCGCGAATTTTAAGATACAAGGCGAGTCACGCTTAGGACAGCGAAGAAGTGAATCTGACTCCACAGGAAGCGGTGGAAACTTGAACAGCCTAGGACTGTCAACTTTTGGGATCAAGAGAACTAAGGGCATCGCAGGAAGACGAGTGCACTTTTTAGTGACCCAAAACCACACTTTTCTGTGCCACATTTTTAAATAAGTTTGACGTTAGATACAACATTAAATAAACTATTGTTGACCCCTGTGATGCGGAATCGATAAAATAATTCGATTTAAAGTTATGTGTTTTCAATTTAAATATTTTCAAATTATGCAATTTTTCAATAATTTTAATACTTAGAATCCAAAATAACGAAAATAAAATTTTGTAATGAAAAATGAGGTGAAGAGTTTTTATTTCACAATTTTTATTTTACAAACTCAAATTATCGAGAAATTGTATAATTTGTAAATATTTAAATAGAAACATTGTATCATTTGAAAATATTTCAAATGAAAATAAATAGACAACATAAACTCATATACAAATTTCTTAACAAAAGATGTTAAATATCTAAATTTACAAATCTCAGGTTATCTTTAAATTATGTATTTTTCGCGGGTATTGTGAGTGATGACTTTTGATCATGCACTATTTCAATGTTTCTTTTACGTTTGACAATTTATAGGTTTAAGTTCCACGTATCCATGCAATATCGGACAGTTTCTTCATCATGCGTTGTACGAGCGGTGTTAATTGTCTTCGTGAAACACGTAAATTTCCTTGGTAGACATGCGATATTTCATATTTCCCTTCTTCATCATAGATCGTGCATCCATCGTATACTTCAAGGTCCGGATCACTAGACCCAAATAACAGCATTCGTAGCTGTTCGTTAACAATTGGATTATTACTCAATTAGCTAATCGATAGATTCTCTGTGAAATAAACGCGAAAAAATTTTAGCCACTATACAAACCTCTTCAAAATCTAAGTGAGCATATTTTTGCGCAATGCCTCCACGAGAATATTTGGTAGTGACTGGGTCGGGAGAAATGGAGAAAATAACGATGTCTTTTATGATTTTGTCCGATTCAACTAGCATGCCAAGTAGGAAAACTATTCTGGTTTTTCTGGCCACTGCGAAATCACGAATGGCATCGGACCCTCCTGAATCAATGAATTTCTAGAATCCGAGGTATGAATCATATTGGAAATTAAATAAACGATAAACTATAAAATAATCTTTAAATAATACTTTACAACTTACTCGAACTAGTATTGGCAATCCAACGATCGGTACTCCAGCGACCTCCTTTACGTCTCTGATCAACAGATCGTCGAAGCTTAATTCACTAATGTCTCTTTGCGCTTGGATGAGACCGTGGTATTCGGCGTCTCGATTGTGAATCGAATAAGCTATTCGTTCGAGTTTTTCTAATGTTTTGATGTCGGATGGAGTGGCGCGATTGACCTCTTTTGACAGGTTACACGTGTCGATCAAGATCGGACCTGTTGAAATAACAATTGGAAATCGAGCGATGGAACCAATTGTTACGTTTTAATTCGTTCCGTATACTAACACACTGAAATATTGTATACAGCGATAGCAATTTAATTCGTAGCCAATCCAATTATCTTGAGAAACATAATCAAATTAGTTCTTTTCCAATGATCTTCTCCTGAATTTGATATGAATCTGACCATATGCTGTTTCGTGAAATAGCGAGCCACCCGTTTCCGCAGTTCACACTAGTGTTAGGAATTTCAAATTACTAATTTTCCACCAGTCAATGTAACATGGGTGCTACCAAACTGTCTTCTTTTAAACTAAATGTATCGTTACAAAAGATTGTGTCAAGTTTGCTATTAATTTAGAAACGCAAAGCCAAATACTCAGTCATCCATTTTCATATTCAGCAAAGATATGGCACCAAATTGATATAAACTTGCTCACAAGCTACGCTACCAAGCAGTTTACATGTATTTGGTCGAAACAGACTTGACTGACCGGGTCTGAATCACTGAATAAAAGTTAATTGAAAAAATGCATCAAATCGCTATGTATACGGTAATATATTATGGAATGACAAAGAGGAAATATAACAGTAGTAAATGTCTCGCCTCGTAAAAGATTCGCTATGTCTGAGTTTATGATTGGTAAATGTTCGACGAGGAAACGTTTTGCCACCAAAGTCGCGCAACTTCCTACAGTCTTCATGTAAACGTCTATTTTAGGCCATGGCCAGGCCGGATCCTGCGGCCGATGATCTATCACCTTGATTACGGAGTCTTTTAGAAAATTGTCTGCTTTCGAAAGAGAGTGATGATCAACAAGTACAACATCCAAAGTAATAGTTGCATCGTTCTTTAATTCTTTCAAGTCTATTTCATCTCTGCAAACGACAAGAATAATCGATTATGGCATCCTGAGCAACGTGCGCGTACGTGCGCGTAGGGCCTGCACACGGATAGGTACATATTCCCCTTACATACGATCTCAACTTACCGGAACGTCAATAAATCCGGAGAAATGTCGTAACGTTTAAAAAAATACGTCACTTCTGTTTTAATCCGATATTCTTTCCGCGGTATATTCATCAACGGTATTACAGTTAAATAATCTGTTCCCGATCCAAGTTTCGCATCCAGATACTCGTGTAATCCCTGAACCAATACACATACCGCGGAATCCAAGTTGCATATGCTGTTACCCAAGACAACGCAGACCTTGTGGAATCGCCATAGTTGCGGCTATATATATAATGAATATTTTCAAAGCTGTCAATTAGATTTCTGTTCTGAGTACCAAATGTTTTATTTGATAAGGTTTCATTTTTGATCGATGACAGTAAAGCGCGTGAACAGAGATTAAAATGATGACACGAAGTAAAAGTTGAAGCAAAGCATAAATCATGGCATCCCAATAGAACCTTCAAAATCAAAGCTTCATTATGTATACTCAACAAGCATTATTGCTTCTTATAGGGCGAATATTAGTATCAAGTCTTAGTTACCAAAGCTTTTTTGGATTCCGTAAGAAACGTCTTCATGCAATCCATAATTTTTCTGTTTCTACACAAGTGTCCGTCGAACGCTGCAGTGCATACGATCAGCTACGGTTGTTTGCATACGTGTGCATAACGCCCATGCCGCTACGATGCTGTCATTGCTCGGAAACGCTCGACTTTAATCGGGAACGGTCGGCAGCGCTCGAAGGAGGTCGGCGGTGAACGATTCCGACGTTGGTGTGACAGTAATGTCCACCGCGCTTGTCCGTCCCAACGTTTCGGCGATCGTCGTTGTTTATTGCGTGCGATTTAACAAACAACGACACAGATTTTTTCTGTGTTCGATGGAGCAGTGTTCCTTGGGTAAAACGGCGGGCGTGTATTCTTAAATTTCGTGCACACACAATCGTCCACGGTCATGTGTTCTCAACAAAACGTATACGTACACGCGAGATTTCGTAATGGTTGCAACGCGACCGAGATGCGTTAACGTTCTTCCGAATTAGGGAGCCTTTTCGTTCGCCGTGACAATCGACGCAATTTCTATCGAACGAACAGCATATCGAAGAAAAGAAAGACACAGGCAAAAGAAACGAAACGGAGTCGACATGATGTCGAAAAGAGCCCCCGAGGATTCTTTACCCACGGAGGTTGGTTTCTACGAACGACCAGAGAGATTCGTTTGCCATCGGTGAACATGTTTTCTTCTATCGATTCTCGGAATTATCAGAAGTTCGAACGCATTTGCTATCGGGAAAAAAATCTGACGAAGAGATTGGGAATGAGAGTGAGAGAGCGAGGGGGAAAGCGATAGTGTGAAAGGGGCGGGGGTGGCAACGGTGAAGGCGCGAGAGTAGAGAGAGAGAGAGAGAGAGGAGAGTTTATGGGGGAGGGAGCTGCAGAACGAAAGCGAGTGCTGTGGTCTGTGTCAGTGTGTTGGTTGTCATAAGTCGTCGGAAGTCATAAGTAGTCGCAGAGAGCGCGAGACGCGTACGGAGCAATAGGTTAGGAATGTCGTTGACTCGATGTGACGCGATGCGACACGGCGAAACGAAGCAACACGGGACAGAGTCGAGTCGCTAGTCGAAACGTTTCGGCGAATTTGTCGTCGAACGGAGAATCGATTTCGTTCGGGTGATACGGGTGGAATAGCTGCACCTCGAACCACAGCAGCAAGTAGATACGTGTTTCTTCCTGGTCGCGCGTGACGTTAACGATCTGCTTGTTAACAGGCGAGGATAGAGAGAAATACGTAAACGTGGATTACTGCGGAAAGGGTGGGTGAGAGCCGGAACTGGAGCCGGAACCGGAACCAGAACCGGAACCGAGGACCGAGTTTCGAGCTCCGAGATGCGATTCAACAAGCAAGAGCTGCTCACTCTGGCTACACAACCGTCGCAGAAATTCGAGAAGGAGGGTATATTGTACGTGCGCGAGCGACAAGAAGGCTTCTTTCGCAGAACAGAGAGTGAGTGATCCAATTGTTGGCAAATGCGAATGATACTAGCGCGAGACCGATATCGGCCCCTCTTCTAACCGACCGATTATTCTACGTACACACATGTATTTTGCCGCTCAGGGGCCGCAAACAAACGCATGTTTTCTTTCTCCTTCATTTTACATTGTACATGTCTGATCCTTCGAAATAAATTCACGTGATACGCAAATTCTTCGTCTTTTGTTTAATGTAGAGCCCATCATCTGTTTCCAAAGTTTTCTCAATGCATGAGGCTCGTACCACGTCGTACAGTGTCGTTCAAAAATACGCGGATACTCGCAACGTTTAATGTCCTTTTGGATGCGCTCATTGCACGGAATTTGAAATAACTTGTTACGTATTGTATTCGGTAAAAAAAATCTGTTCCATAAGAAATATAATATCTGAAGGAACTCGTTGCATGAAAGAACTGGCATACCTTTTTCTTTGTGTCTTATAGTTTCGGATATACAGGGTGTCCAAAAAATGTCCCGCAATCCGAAAGTAGGGGATTCCTGAGGTGATTCGAAGCAACTTTTTCCTTAGCGAAAATGCAATCCGCGGCTTCGTTTACGAGTTATTAACGAAAAACGGTGACCAATCAGAGACGAGATCATTTGGCGCGAGACGGCCGAGCCAATGAGCGGAACTGGGCTCCGTGCACTCGTCGGCTGGGCCGCCGCGCGCTAGCCGAGCTCGTCTCTCATTGGTCAGTGTTTTTCGTTAATATTCGCAAAGGAGAAAGTTGCTTCAAACGACCTCAGGAACCTCCCATTTCCGGATTACGAGACATTTTCGGGACATTCTGTAGTTCCTTTTTGGATCATACGTTTTGTTTAATGCTATATCGTAGCTGACGAATAAACGAATTCAACGGCCTGTATTATGTTGACCATGGCTTGATCTTGAATCTTGATGAAAGTACGTACGATGTAACGTATACCGAAAATTCAGTATAATTCAACGAATGTTTCCCGACTGTTTCCAGATACATAGTTGGTTACTTTTTAGCTGGGAGAGTATCCACGTATACTTAAATGGCAATGTACATGTGTATTTTTGCGTGACTCGTTCCTTGAGAGTCGTTTACCCGGCGCGCCGTGTTGCGTCGTTGCGTCGTCGTGACCACAAAGCGAATTGTAGCATCCTTCTCCTGGATCGGATTCACTTGCATTGACTCGGCTCGACTCGACTCGAGCCGAATCAAGAATAGTTATCGGAACGATAAAGCGACGCCGATCCAGGTTTCCACGTGAATACACCAGCGCGAATGAAATTCACCGCGTACGAAGAATTTGTCGACCTCGTGGGATCCTATAATTGCAGGGTGTCGTAGCTTCGCAACATCCCGAACCGACCATTGTAATTTTTATTTTCTGACGTTCGAAATAGACATCTTTGCGAGGTAAGCATCGTAAACGTTGCTCGTCATTTATCTTTGTGTACACATACGATTATCTTACTTGTTTCATCATCACTATCACCGTCATCACACCGCCATCCTCGTCGTTATTTGTTCTTTTTTTTCGTTATTTTTTTATTTTTTTATTTTTCCAACTGGTCGCGCGTAAATATCATCTAAACGAATTCGATTTCAGTGCGGTCGAGACCCATTTCGATTAACGTGACAAAGCCGACATTGCAAGCAAAAAAAGATCTCGGCGAGATTTATGTTTGTACATTTGTTGTATATTGAATTTGTCGAAAACCATTGCATATACGACTCAAAATTTTCGTTAAGCTATTCAATGCAAATTCCAATCGAGACTACCCGGGAATCTTGTGTTCTTGACAAATTTTAAGTTCACCGTCGAGATTAGAGTCACGTGTGTCAAACGTCGATGTAATTCGCATATCACAAAGAACATAAGAATATCGGCAAATCAGCACGCATAATAACCGAATAGTAAGTATATCAGTAGGCTAGCGCACGCTCGGGACATCGCTGTCGACTGTAAGCTTCGGTAAAATTGAAAGATACGTGTAGCTACATATAATTTGCAGGTACAGGTAAAAAATCTGACAACAAATTTCAAAAGGGAAAAACGCATAAGACACTGCGAGACTTCAGTTGCGTTACCGCCAGTACGAGTAAAGGTATAATCGAGTTTTTTGTTTCTTTTTTTCCCAACAAACGTTCTCCTTTGCTAATTTAACTCGATTTATCGCGATTAACACGCTTGATGCTGTAAACCGAGTTTAAGAAAAAAAATAAAAAAACGCTGTACATTGAGCTGGCCGAGCACCGACGCGCGACGCATCGGAAAATCGCTTGGTGCTTTTTGAATCAGTGTTCCATTTTTATCCGTGGGATCTCCTTCACTTTCCTACTCGCCAAACTTCCTTTCCCTTCCCTTCACCTGCTCCCCCCCTTCCCATAGTTTACACGAATATGTTTTATCGAATGGTGAACGGTTTTCAGCGTGTAGATTCCGAAGATCGTGAAAGGTATTTATTGGTTTATTGCGCGTCCAGTTCCATTTCCAAGAATACTTCGCATGTGCTCTCCTTCTATTCTGCAGGTGTCCGGCTTTCTTAGGTGCCGTGCTTATCTTAGCGTGTTTTTCTGCACATCGCAATACTAATTGTTACTGTTGTTATTGCAATTTGAACCGGAACTCTTACTACTCGGATCTTTGAATCAATTGAACATATGCGAATACAGTAATGTCTCTCTAATCGACGCTCGGATTGTCCAAAAAAATGGACAATTTGGGAAGAGGAGATTTGATTATTTGAGTCTTTTAGCTCGTTTTTTATAGTTACGAATTGTTAAGGTTAAATTAAGAGAGCTAAGAGAGTATAATAATGTCTCTCTAATTGACGCTCGGATTGTCCAAAAAAATGCACAATTTGGAAAGAGGAGATTCGATTATTCGAGTCTTTTAGCTCGTTTTTTATAGTTACAAATTGACAAGGTTAAATTAAGAGAGCTAAGAGAGTACAGTAATGTCTCTCTAATTGACGCTTGGATTGACCACAAAAATGGACAATTTTGGAAGAGAAGATACGATTATTCGAGCCTTGTAGCTCGTTTTTTATAGTTACGAATTTTTAAGGTTAAATTAAGAGAGCTAAGAGAGTAGAGTAATGTCTCTCTAATTGACGCTCGGATTGTCCACAAAAATGGTCAATTTGGGAATACGATTATTCGAGCCTTGTGGCTCGATTTTTATAGTTACAAATTGTCAAGGTTATGTCAAGATTATGCAAGGCTCGAATAATCGTATCTCCTCCTCCCAAACTGTCCATTTTCATGGACAATCTGAGCGTCAGTAAGAGAGACATTACTGTACAGTAATGCAGAAAAATGGACAATTTGGGAACAGGAGATACGATTATTCCGGCTTTGCACTATGTTTTTATAATCGTTGACAATCGATAACTATAAAAACGAGTCGCGAGGCTCGAATTCGCAAGGCTCCTCTTGCCAAATTGTCCATTTTCATGGACAATCTGAGCGTCAGTAAGGGAGACATTACCTGTATTCGGATCTACGGTCTGTTCTACGAAAGAAAACACCTGAAGTCATAATAGTTACGAGCAATTATTATCAGTTCAGGTAGCATGCTTCGAAAAACAGAGCATAAATAGAAGGAATTAACGCATTAAATTACTCGGATTCGGGGTACCGAATTTTGATTCGAACAATAGTAAGAGGCTTGAATCTAGAACGGTTGGTTTATTTATCTGCACAGGTACACACGCACGAAACGTTCAACATGCATGCGAGTACACCAATCGCATCTTGTTCCTTTCCCGTTTATAACTGTTCCAGCTTTTCTCTTCGTTCTCGACGGCTCTCGTTTTTCTATTACCGTCGGGACGCTCTGTGAGGTAAAAGGCGATACAAATCAGCATTCGTTCCTCTTGCTTCCGAACGTTTCTGATCGCGCGAAGGCTTTCCCGAAAGTTGTTGCGTTTGCCGACGCTTCTTAACCGAGCATAACGAAAACGTTACTCCTTCTCCTCTCTCTTCTCTGTTGAATAGTCAGCTTCGAGAGGTGGTGCAGATTGCGAGGGAACCTATTGTTTTATTTCAAGTCGCGGGAGCAATGGTCGGAACCTTTGGGAGTGATAATACTCGAACAATGCTTTGTTCGAGTGGAACAAGCGAGCAACCAGGTTCCGTATGGGTTCAGTATAGGTGAGTCTCCTACGATCCCTCTCTGCCTCTGTCGCCCGCTATTTCGCGACACGGCTGAACCGCGGGGTCAATGATCGTCGTTTGTAAAGAGCCAATATTGTTGTCCGCTGTTTCAGTTTTCGAGGGAGGCCTGTTCCAAGCGTTGGGCGCAAACTCTGCCGAAGAACGCGACAGCTGGTTACAGGCTCTACAGTTGGCCAGCTACGAGTGCATGCGAAGCCAATTGTTGGCGCTTAGGCAACGAATCGAAGCGTTTAGCGGGCACAAACACGACACCGACATCCAAATGTTACGACTGCAACGCGGGATCTTGACCGGTAATACGAACCTCTGATCGCAGTGTGTAGTCTTCAATTATCATCGGTCCGGCGAGACGAGTCGATGAATGGAGACAAGTTGCTTGTAAAGGCTGTTTATCAAAATCCTAATAATAAGGATTCGCAGCATCGAGATAAAAATATTTGCCAAATTAATGGGTTTTCGACAGGGATAGGTCAATACCCGATCAAAAAAGAATAAAGTCTAATATAATATAAAAAAAAAGGTATATATATATAATATATATATGTATATAATATATATATATATATATATATATATATATATATATATATATATATATAAAAATAATATATATATTTATTATTATATTATTTTATTTATTATATTTATTATTATTATATATATATATATATATAAAGACATAATATAAAGGACATATTATGTCCTTCACGTGTACACTTACAAACATACCAATTAAGCAAGACTACTTCTTCGAATCAACACAAGTTTTATATGAAATATTTTTTCAAACAACGAATAATTCTAGTAGTAACATCGTACACATATTAACCCTTAGCGCTCCGCGCGTTTCTCGAGTACTGCCTACCAACAATTCCGGCACATTTTTGGAGCGGAGCGCCTGAGATAAAGGAAGTCTTATTTTGAGCGGAAAAGATTACACGTCCTTGTGAATGCATTTGATTTTATTGATTTTATAAATATACATTTTCCTATTGTAAATACAAGATAAATTTTAAATTTTGTCGTTCACCATGGTGCGATATCTTTGGTAACAATCTCCCATGTGCATTCTGGGTTTATTTGGACAAGTGTCGCAGTATTCACTTTGCCAAATAGAGTTACCAGATATTTCTTTCAAGTTTAGAACATTTTCTGCGTAATTGTTGGTTTCCTTTATAATTTCGTTTACCAATTCGTCCGTGAAAAATAATTTAAAATATTGTATCGGCTGTTGAATGTTTGTAGAAACTTGTGGTCCAATGACCTGTGGCAATACGTTGAAAGGTATTCTATCTGGAATATGTAATTCTTCCGTAACGTCACGCCATTCATCCAAGTCTTGTAAGGAATCTTCGCTTTCGCTTTCAATAATTCTCATTCTTCGTCTCTTTGGTAGTATAATTTCGCTACTACTACTCGAAGTGTCAGAATCATAACCAACATTGTCTTCCACGATGTCTTTTAACTTTTCAAAATCAAATACGTCTTCGGTATCACTCGGCTCTAAATTCTCATCGTAATATTTATTTTTCTCCATGTTGCTAACCATAGAAAAGGTCAAAAAATGCTGTAATCGTAATGGTACAGACTTAGCACGTTTTAACTACAGATAACAATTGCTGACACCGACGATAACGTATGCTAAAAACATTTGGCTCCGCAGCGGAGTCTTCGGAGTTACGGAACAAATGACAAATGTCTCCGTAGCGGAGCCTTCGGAGCGCTAAGGGTTAATTTAAATAGGCCCTCTATGTTAACCCCCGGCAAGGGACTACCAAAGGTTGGCTTTGTCGCAGAAGTTCTGATTATATTTACTGACTCGTCTCGTTGGACAGGCTATATGCATCATTCTATGTATGTAGAAATTACAGAAAATGGGCGAAAATGTTCTCTGACCGTTCTCTCACGATCAGATCCGGCCGAAATACCGATGTGCGAAATATCGCTGACCTGCGACAACCTCCTATGCGACGGGCACGGCCGACCGCCGAATCCCGTGCTGGAGATAGACGTTCAGCCGAAAGGTTCGAAAACGTGGATCAAGTATGCGCGAACGGAAGTTATGGAGGTAAGTAAGTTACTCGGGAGGAAAAAAGAAGAAATTAAGCGAAACTAAACGTTTCTCCATTTCCGTTTTCGCAGCGAAGCAGCAATCCCGGTTTTCTAACGACCGTCAGCTTCCGAGCGAGCGACGGTTTGAACTCGGACACGAAAGCGAGAATAACAGCGTACGACGTTAGGGAGAGGGTGAGTCAAACGGCCACGCCGATAGGGAGTGTGATCGTGACGCTGAACGCGATTCAAGATACTCCCAGGTAATTTGAATGGCTCTCGTTCCGCGAACGCGTTTTCCCTTCCTTTCGTTACGATGCTCGTCGAGCTGTCGCGTCTCTGACTAGCGATCGCAATGTTTTAGGTTAAGGATACCGTTGAAGTCCGCGAAAACGACCACCGTCGGCTTCCTGACTATCAACGCGTGGAATTTGGAAGCGGAAGACAAAGGCAACAGCACGGAGAGCACTCCGTCGAAGGAATCCACCTGCGGGTCGAATCAACAGGTAAAGGGATACGTTGCTTTCTGTTAGCTTCTCGCTTCTTTGCTTCTCGTTTTTCATTCCGAACATCCCCATTTACTTTCACTTGTTCCGCATCGTGATCCTACAGGTACTCGCGCACAGGCGCTCCCAGTCTCTGCCACCTCGTCTGGGAACGAAAATCAAACTTCCGCATCAGGGCCAGCTGAAGCTTCTTTTCGCGAACCCATACGTGCAAACGTACAGGTTGGTTGCATCGAAAGATATTGGGGGGCGGGGAAAAAAACTTTGGCTTGGCTGTGTCTGCAACGTTCGAATCTTTTAGGTTTCACTCTGGTTTGGGTGGGGACATCTGTGTTCACGAAATCATGGCCGAAAGTAAACTTTGCTTTCAGTTCCCTCAACATTTACTGTGAGTAACCTAGCGCAAATATTCATTTCACTCTTCCTCTCGCTTCGTTCATATCTACAGGGTGTCCCAAAAATGTCTCGTAATCCGAAAGTGGCGGGTTCCTCGGGTCATTTGAAGCAACTTTTTCCTTTACAAGAATTTTCTCCGAGGCACCGTTAACGAGTTATTAACGAAAAACAGTGACCAATGAGAGAATCCCAGCTCAGCCGGCGCGAGGCGGCCGAGCCGACGGCGCCAGCGGTCGAGGCGGTCGGAATCCCAGCTCAGCTGGCGCGAGGCGACCGAGCGAATGAGCGGAACTGGGCTTCGTGCGCTGGTTGGCTGGGCCGTCTCGCGTCAGCTGTACTCGATTCTTATTGGTCACTGTTTTTCGTTAATAACTCGTTAACGGTGCCTCGCAGAAAATTATTGTAATGGAAAAAGTTGCTTCAAATGATCCGAGGAACCCGCCATTTCCGGATTGCGAGACATTTTTGGGACACCCAAATATAGATATAGATATTTTGTTATCTATCTGGTCGATGCTTATCGCGCACCATCTTCTCAGTGCGATTTGGATTCAAGAGGAAAAGGAGTTGCTGCAAGAGGTCGCTGGAATGGGCGAGTTGCGGGAACCTTGGCATACCAAACAAATTGAATTGCTCGATCGTCATCTGCACCTTTTGCACCTCTATTCGCAAGCGAAAGAAAATTTGTCGGCCTTCAAAGGTGATGGCGCGTCTCACGAGTCGATCTTCGAAATCTATATCTTTTTTTCCGTGTTCATCACTCGTTTGTTTCTCCTTTTCTGCAGGGAGTTACTTTAAACGGTCACTGCGCAGAGACGACAGGACTCTCGAGTTCGCGCCACTGAATCTGCATCTCCAAAGGATGTGGGTTCATAACGACACCTTGAACAAATGTGGATTTTACGATTTGATAACGGTTGGAGCGTTCACCGCACATTCGCACAAAAACAAAAATGGAGGTCTCATAAGGTAGGTGTAAATCGAAGATGATTGTCGTCTACTTAAAATCTAAATTATTCTCTTAATTTTAGACAGTTTATATTTCATTAACCTCTTCATCTCAGCCTTTAATTAAAAGACAAATGATCATGCTACCTTTGTAGAGTCAAAATACTGCAGCTATTTAAATTTTTCATTGAGCAGGGCTGACTTTAAATTTTATTCAAAAAGACATGTTTTTGTTAAACAGGTGAATATAATTATTTTGTCGAATTTCTTAAAATTATTTTTAAATTTATTTATATTCTAAAAATTTTAATTTACTAATTTCTATCATTATAATAATATATTAACTATTTAAATAATTTTTTCTATAAAATAATATATCTTTTTTGTAAATTATTTCTTTAAAATATTAAATTATTAAATTTTTAAAAAAATTTTAAAACAAATTATTTGATTATATTTCATAAATAAATCATATTTAAAATTCAAAGATTATCCCTTAAATTTTTTATATTAATTTTTTATTAAATAATTAATTATATAATAAAATTAATTAATATATGAATTAAATTCATTTCTAAAAAAAACTAGATATCAATAAAATCGACTTACATTTCACATCCAACTTAATATTTATAATTATTATGTAACATAAAAGATTATATTAAACTAATCAATCAATTATCAATTAATTGATCAATCAATCAATCAATTAATCAAAATCGGAATGAAACTAACTGCGACTTAACTTTCAGATTGGTGCAAGCTCTGAAGGAATCGCCGACGCGCAGCACTCACTTGTACCAAGGGACCTCGAAGATTACTATGGCACACGACGCCATTCAGGCGATCAAGCAGCTTCGTCGTGACGTGGTCGACGCGATGCGCGCTTTGATGAAACTAGCCAAGGAGAAGCAGACCAGCGGAATGTTACCCATTTGCGAGGATATGATTACGAAAACTAGAATTCTACTTAGCCTTTGGGATCCTGGTTTGGTCGAGGAAGCGTTAACGTTCCTCGAGGAGTACAAAGTTGCCAAAGTTCACGAAGACGCTACCGAGGACGCGCACAACTTCCAGTTGAAGGGGCATCAATCTCTGTCCCCTTTCAAGCGCATCACGCAACAATTGAATTTCGACTTGAAGAGTCCGGATTTCGACGATTTCGTCACGCCGGACACTCCGGAATGCATGAACGATCTCTGGACAGAGGAGAACCAGAAGAACAATTATCCGTCTCTGTTTCTTTCGAAGAGCAATCGCATCGCTCCGAAACGAATCGGTCAGTTCGAGGCTGAAGAAGCTTCGATCAAAGAGAAGTTCGTAATTTTTCCGGACGCCGAGGAAGATACTTGCAAAGACACGGTGACGAATGCTTGCCGCTCGCCGATTCTCGAGCACCGTAGCGATAAAGTTAACGACAACGACGTCCACAACGAACACGATAGCTATAAGTACAACGACAACGGCAGCAACGTCGCCAACGATCACCTCGCCGTGATCGAAGAGAACGAATACGAGAACGCAACGTCGAACAAGAATATCAACAAAAGCGTGGCACCCGACGCGGTAGAGGCCACGGAGGAGAAAGAGGAAACGCGAGTCGACCTCGATCCGTGCAAGCGGTTCTTGGATACTCAAAAAATGTGTAATTCACCCTCCGCGAACTATTACAAACCGACGGACGAGCCGGAGCCTTGGGATTTGACGCAGTTGAACATAGAGGCGAGCGTGATGTGTCTGGTATCCAAAGTGAAATTCCTTTGCGGCCGATGCAGCAGTCCCGCTGTTCGCTTGAGAAACAAAACTATCGTGAGACGAGCGCACAGTTTGAAAGGATGTCAACCGAACAATCGAAGCCAGAGCGTAGAAGTTGTGACGATACAGCCGAAGAACGACATGAAGAACGACGAGTCGAGCAAGCTGCTCGAGCCCGTAGAAAATCACGCGCTTCCACGACAACATTCCAGTCCTGGATTTGACAAAACTGCGCCGGCTTTCTCGAAAGCGAAGGAAGGTAAGGAAACGGTTTATTATTCATTATAACGTATTATTATTCTATAAATTATTATTCTTCCTGTTCCTAATGGACAGTGTGCCAAGCGGTCGATTCGATGACCAGAGTGATCAAAAGCAATTCAGGACAGAGGAACAAGTTCATCGAGGGTCTAGACTTCGCCTCGATCGTTGACTGGACCAGCGAGCTCAGACCGAGCATGAAGAAGCTACGACAGGCTATGGACGGGCTGTTGAAGACCGCGAGATTAACACATTCTGTGTTCAGAGTGCAAGAGGACGCGAAGATGGCTCAGCGCGCGTGTAACGTTCGTTATAGACGGGACGTGTGCTTCAGCCAAGCTGTAGGTTGCTTGTCTTTTTTTACACATGTACGCTTACTGGCAAAAGTTAAGAAACAACATAATTGTTTAATACATCGACGATCTAGTTTTTCATCTGTTTTTCGCGGTCTGCCAGCTCATGGTGCCGTTTTAACAGGTCCATATTCATCGAATCGTTTTATAATTTTTGTGATAAGTCATTCCTTCAACAATAAAGCAGAATTAATGGAAGCAATCACGAAAATATGGTCAGAAATTCCGACTGAGTTTTGTATTCGATCAATTGAATCTATACCACGCGGGGATGCAATGCAGTCCTCAAATCCAAGGGTTGTGTAACATCTTATTAGACTGTTATGAAAACTACAGACATTGACACATCGCTGTTTTTCATTAAAAGTGATTATATAACTTAAGCGATGTATGTTTCTTAACTTATGTCGCGCAGCTTTTGCGTTGTTTCTTCGATTCAATTTAATTATGGCTTTCGTACAAGTATATTTGAGAAAAAACTCATTGATCATTGATGTATGGCATGCTATCTCATTATGCTATTTTAGATTATGTATCTTAGAAGATAGAGAATATACTATATAATATATACGATTACGTTGAATATAATATATTATATGTTATATATATTATATATTATAATATATTATTATATTATATATTGAATATAATATAATATAATATATAATATACGATTACGTTGTTTCTTAACTTTTGTCAGTAAGTGTACGCACGTGTGTAATAATAGGTATAATAACGGATCATTGGTTTCAGCTGACCAGCTTGGTGTCTGGCATTATGGCGAAGCTCTGGTGTCAGAGACCCGATCCGATATTTCTCTTAATCTTGACCACTCTTGGCCCGTTGGTCTCGTTCGAGGGTCTTCTCAGTTATTACGGGGACGAGATAGACATGTGGGGCGACATGGCCGTTGCGGTCGAAGACATGCACACGGTCACGTTCACGTTGACCAGATGTGGCATTCAATCGAGGTACACGAATGGTCTATATCTGCTGGAACACACCTGGTTCATTTTTTTTATACGGATTTGGTTTCAGGTCCGAAGAAAACGGCAACGTTCCGTTGGTTCAGCTACCCTTGCCGAGGGTTGTCGGTTCTCGCGCCGCATTAACAGTGATGCTTCCAGTGCCAGATGCGATTTATTCTCTGCTACCGCTGGTCCCTTCTGCTAGACAAACCATCTCGTTCAATGTCACTCCGGTCTTCTTCAACGTCGGGATCAACGAGATGGCTTCTCTGGCGGAAAGCCTCGGGACGACCAAGCCTCAGGAGAAGAGCAATATGGACAACTACGAAAGGTTGAACGAATACTACTTGCGTTTTAAAAAGCTCAATCTGCCCACGGAGACGGCATCGACTCGACGTAAGATCTCTTTCATTGCAGGATCGCGTCTCTTTTGTTCTTCGATCACTGTTCTCTAGACTTGTTCTCATTCTTCTCTTCAGTTGGTACGAGATCGCCGCTCGGTCAAACGCTAACGGAGCTGATGACCAATTTGAAGACCAGCGTGCACGCGAAAGTGAATAAAAATGTAGAAATACTGCAGCTGTCTTCCCAAATTTGTCGGCGAATGCGCGGACTCAGATTTACCAGTTGTAAGAGCGCGAAGGATCGCACCGGGATGTCGGTCACCCTCGAGCAGGTCAATATTTTGACCAGCGAGTACCATTTGGCCGAACACGAGTTCACCAGAGCTCTCGACTGCATTCGAAGGTTTGTGGCTTGTTCAAGAAATAATAAATACGGTTCGGTTCGGTTCTACGAATTCAGTTCGCTGGTCCCGAAGAAACATTGCGAAAGCCGCTTTCTGTTTCAGCGAAGGCTGTCGTCGGGAGAACACATGGAAAAACATCGGAATTAGAAAGTACGCGTTCAACAGTTTGCAAATTTTGACGCTTCCCAAGCTGTATCGTCCGCCGACGGGTACCTACGGATCAGCGCAGACATAAGTTTCCACGAAGCGAGCCAGCTTCACGGCACGGGACGCGTCCAGGAAAACGTCTTACCGTTACTAGATATATTCTAGATTCGATTCGTGCAATTCGTTGAACCTATTAAAGAGAGTGCCATTTAATTAACGCAATACCACGGGGTTAGAAGAAATTTCGTATCTACGTAGAGGACGTTGGATTCATTGAAAAAAATTGTATTTTTATTATTTCTGTACAGAAAGTTTTACTCGTTAAGGTAAGGATCATCGACCGTCTTCTTCGCGAAGAATCGCGACAACGATCCCCGCGACGATCCTCGCTCGCCGAAAACGCGACCAATATTGTCGCGTTCTTTTTTTTTTCGGCGCAAAGTAAACGGCGGTGGATGAAATGACTTAGCATAAAATCGGTCGATCTTGCATTGCAGTATCTTTGAGATTTCTCTTGGTCGAACGCGTCGAAGAGAACAATCAACGTTCGATCGAGAGCGAACTATACCGGACTTCCAATTTCATACGTCGTTATTGCAACAACGACAATTTATTGTACGTCACCGTACGTCGTCGTGCAATGTTCCAAGAAAACAAAACGGTTCGAGTACTTCCCTAGAATTTTAGAGTTTTAGATCTTGTCAGGGAACAAGCTGTTTTCAATAAATTATTGACCTTATGTAACGAGCTTTTCGAACCTGTTCATTCCTGCACGCATCGAACTGGCGAGCCATAAAGCCGGCAAGTTCGTATTCCTTACAAAAACAACTACAGTATAATGTCTCTCTAATTGACGCTCAGATTGTCCACAGAAATGGATAATTTGGGAAGAGCTCGTTTTTATAGTTGTTGACAATTCGTGACTATAAATATGAACCGCAAGCGTCGAATAATCCTATCTCCTCTCCTTAAATTGGATCGCATTTATCAAGATATTACACGATTTTCATTAACGACAACTCTGAACAAATTGCCCGCGAAAGTATCTTTGCAATCGCAATAGTTGTGAAATAAAGAATCCCAAATCTGTTATTTTGACAGGTTCAGTAGTTCCAAATAATCATTAATATAAAGACTAGAAATGACTTTATTTTTCTTGAGGCAAGATATGATACCAGAAGCCTAAAAAAAGATCGCGAGGGTGAAACTAGTTCGTACAGTAATGTCTCCCTAATTGACGCTCAGATTGTCTACAAAAATGGACAATTTGGGAAGAGAAGCCTTGCGACTTGTTTTTCTAGTTACCGATTGTCAACCATTATAGAAACATGATGCAAAGTTGGAATAATCGTATCTCCTGTTTCCACATTGTCCATTTTTCTGCACAATCTAAGTGTCAGTTAGGGAGACATTACCGTATTCCTTTCAAAAATAACTACCTGGATCGCATTTATCAAAATATTACACGATTTTCATCAACGACAACTCCGAACAAATTGCCCGCGAAAGTATCTTTGCAATCTCAATACAGTAATGTCTCCCTAACTGACGCTTAGATTGTGTAGAAAAATGCACAATTTGGGAACAGGAGATGCGATTATTCCGGCTTTGCACGATGTTTTTATAATCGTTGACAATTGGTAACTATAAAAACGAGTCGTAAGGCTCGAATTCTCAAGGCTCCTCTTCCCAAATTGTCCATTTTTGTGGACAAAATATATATTATATATATATAATAATATATATATATATATAATATATATAATAAATATAATATAAAAATATAATATACATAAATATTTATATATATAGATTTATATATATTATATTTATTATATATATATATAGATTTATATATATTATATTTATTATATATATATATATATATAATATATATAAATCTATATATATAAATATTTTGACAAGTTCGGTTCTAAATAATCATTACTATAAAAGACATAGAAATGACTTCATTTCTCTCGAGGCAAGATATGATACCAGAAGCCTCAAAAAAGAATCGCGAGGGTGAAACACGCGACACTAACCGAGGCACAGCTGTAACGAATTGCGGTTGCTGTGTGGGAGTCGAGAGGGTGGTCGATGAGCAGGCGAAGTTGACCTCTCTAACGAATATAATAATAACAATAATAATAATTAAACGAGGGGGGTTCTTTGTGGGCAGGCGGGTGAGCGTGCTCGCAGGCAAAGAAAATAGAATGGTACCCTGGTACCACCGGGGTGTCGATGTATCGGTGTGTATCGGTGTCAGAGGCGCAGCTTGTAGGCACGAGACAATGCGAACGCACACCTGCTGCTTGGGTTGTTGGGCCGTCGGGCGGTTGGGCCGGGCCAACGCGCCGCTCGGTCCGGCCCATTTACCCCCGACCATTTACGGGAAAGAGTACGGGAACGATATAAAACTGCCGGGCGGGCATGTGCTCGTGCCAGTTGAGCTTTCGGCGTCGGCGAAAAGTGATTCTCCCGCGGGGCCGCGCAACGTCGGCCGGTTCGGTGAATTTGAACCGAGTAAGAAGAAGTCATCGAAATCGACGATCAAAAATCAATACTTTAGTCCGCACAAGTCTGGCTAGGCGTACCAGTCTGGCTAGACTGTGTGCTTCCCGTGGAAACAATGACCGGGATAACGTGGTTGTTTCGCGTCACCTTCCCTTTCGTTTCCGTGATAATAAGCGCGATCGCGATCGGCGAGGTTCGCGGCGACGAGAACGCGTCGGACGCGATAAGGTCGTTGCAAGAGCAAGTGACCGCGCTGCTGGACCACAGGCAGCAGGATTACAATGCCCTCGAGGAGAGCTTGAAGCGCGCGATGGAGAAAAACACCGAGTTGTTCGTCCTGAAGAACGAGGTGAAACAACTCAGGTAAGGAACGAACGCTTTCGATCTCCTCGATTCGAGTCGCTTTTCGGCGAATTGCGTGGCGATCGCGTGTTGGCGAGCGATCGTGGGTATCGATTAACGAGATCGATCTGTTCTCCCTCTTAGAAAGGAGGTGGACGCGCTTCGCGGCGGAAATGCCAGCGGGAACGAGGCGAAGAACGAGAGACTGCGAGTCAGGTGGTTGGGCAGCGCGGTTACCGAACTGCAGGGTGAGGTCGCCGACGTTCTTCGAGCGAGGAACATCAGCGAGGAGCTGGCCGAGAGGTTCAGTATGAAGGGCGAGCTGACGTTGCTGAAGGGTGACATAGCCGCGGTCGGCCGAGGAATTCGAAATCTTGGCGGCAGAATCGCCAAACACGAGGCCATGCTCGGAACGATTCGCGTCGATATCTCCGCGATCGGGGAACGTTTCAGCCTGCTATCTCGCACCTGCGCCGACATTGCCAGTCAGGTAACATCTTTTCTCTGGCACTACTTGCTTTCCCCCACCCTCGCTCTCGTCCGACTTCTCGCTCTCTCTCTCTCTCTCTCTCTCTCTCTGCCTTTCTCATTTCACCTTCTCCCTCTCAGCCCTCTCCGTGCGTCCTCTCTTCATCGCGTCCCTTTTGAATCCTGTCCAAGGTGTACGCTACTTTCCCTCTGCTCGTGGTTTCTTTTTTCTCCGGCATTCTCCTTATCCTTCTGTTCACCTGCTCGGGCCCGTTCGAACGCGCATCTGCCCCGACTCGAAGTCTTCTTTTTATCTTTCTCCCTCCTCCTCCTCCTGCTGCAGCCTTTTCAGCTGCGCCGTTAACCACGAGAATGAAAATCAACGAATTCGTTTTTTTTTTGGTCGATCGGAGAGACCGATCTCAGCGGGCTAGCTTCTAATTAAATGGAACAAGGTTTTCCGACTTGGCCTATATGCTAGGAATATACATAGGTGTCCGTCAGAAAAACAGAAACAGCTGCCGCTCGGGCCGGAAGGTTTTCACTTCACGCATCCCTACCTTTGCCGGTCCGCAGCTGTCCACTTTGGGTAACGTCCCCTTCGAGTCTCGCTCGGCTGCCGGCATTAATTTGCGCGGACGCTGCGCATTCGGTTCGATGTTATCCCCCTTTTTTTCATTCGCGTTCGTACTCTTGTTTCCTGTTTCTCTATTATCGCCTGGATTCGTTTACTGATATTTTACGAGGATTTTGATTATATTACTTCGACAAACCGATCCGCGTAAAATTTCGGCCCGAGGTTCACGAGATTCGACGGTTCGATAGCCGCAGCTGGCGCGCATTCGCTCGAATGCCGTCGAACCTATCCAGTTGCCAACTGCGCCCTTCGTTCTTTTATTCTCGAGAGCGGTCCCTCGGATACGGAAGTTCTTTCAACAGAATTCCGTGGCCAACCTTTCTTAGTTCGCCGCCCCGCCCCCTCCCCCGCGTCATTCGAACTTGCACGAGTACAGTGATGTCTCTCTAATTGACGCTCGGATTGTCCACAAAAGTGGAAAATTCGGGAAGAGGAGATACGATTATTTGAGCCTTGCAGCTCGTTTTTTATAGTTACGAATTGTCGAGGTTAAATTAAGAGAGCTAAGAGAGTACAGTAATGTCTCTCTAATTGACGCTCGGATTTTCCAAAAAAATGGAAAATTCGGGAAGAGAAGATACGATTGTTCGCGCTTTGTAGCTCGTTTTTTATAGTTACGAATTGTCGAGGTTAAATTAAGAGAGCTAAGAGAGTACAGTAATGTCTCTCCAATTTACGCTCGGATTGTCCACAAAAATGGAAAATTCGGAAAGAGGAGATGCGACTATTTGTGCCTTGTAGTTCGTTTTTTATAGTTACGAATTGTCAAGATTAAATTAAGAGAGCTAAGAGAGTACAGTGATGTCCCTCTAATTGACGCTCGGATTGTCCACAAAAATGGACAATTCGGGAAGAGAAGATACGATTGTTCGCGCTTTGTAGCTCGTTTTTTATAGTTACGAATTATCAAGGTTATGTCAAGGTTATGCAAGGCTCGATGAATCGTATCTCCTCTTCCCAAATTGTCCATTTTTGTGGACAATCTGAGCGTCAATTAGAGCGACATTACTGTAACTGGTTTTTCCTATCGGCAGTGCAATGAAATTTATAAAATTGATAATATATGAAATAAATGAAAATTGGCCGTCCCGCAGGCTAATAGGCACTTGGACGTGTTTACGACTTTCAGTCTTATATCGTAGTTACAACAAGAAACTTGATTCGAACGCATTCCAACGAACTTGTTACACCGAAACACATGTTATAGACTATGATTATTATTGCAATATTTCAAAGTCATATTTTCAGGATTTTCAATAAGTTGGAGCTATTTCGGTGGGAGAGAAAAATTACTTCTGATTGTCCACAAAAATATATTTCTAATATAAAATATAATATTTATATATTTCTATTATAAAATATAAACTATAATTCAGGAAGAGAAGATACAATTATTCGAGCCTTCTGGCTCGTTTTTATAGTTATTGGCAATCGGTAACTACAAAAACGATCCGCAAGGCTTGAACAACCGCATCTCCTCTTCCCAAATTGTCCATTTTCGTGGGCAATCCGAGCGTCAGTTAGGGAGACATTACCGTAATTTGTTAATTCAACAACTTGATAAAAGAATTTTCGAACACGCAGATGTAACTCGCACGTAATTTCGATTCCAGCTGAGCGCGGTTCAGATCGAGGTGAAATCGATGGGGTGCGAGTCGTCGACAGCCGACGCTGGCAAGGGTAAACACGTGGCGGGAGCGACGGCCACGACCGACAGCGTGGCGCATCACAGACTATCGCGACGGCACGGTTATTCTCGACGAAGCGAGGATCGCCTGAAGAACTTGGAACGGAAGGTCGCGGTTCTGGCGCAGAGGCGGCTGGCGCAGCTGGACACGAAACGGGTGGCGTACGAGAAGGGCGAGTGGCTGACGTCGAACCTGAGCAAACGCGTGAAGAGCTTGGAGAAGAATCAGGTGGAGTTGTCGCGTCGGGTTTCGAGCGCGAACGAGAACGCGATCTCGACGAAGCAGATCGGCGAGTCGGTTGGCTCGCGGCTGGTGGGCTCGCTGCGAGCCCTCGAGGAGATCGTCGAGACGAACAATTCTGCGATCAAAGGTGAACTGGCCAGACTGGGCGTGAACGCGGCTCAGAAAGCTGCGGAGCTTTCGCTGACCCGGGTGGAGCTGAGCAACCTGCGACGAGCCGTGCAGGCGCTGAGCGTCAGCGCTTCGAAGCTGCAAGAGAAGAGCGACCGGCAGCAGGAAGCGATCGATCGATTGAACGGCAGCCGCTTCGCCGAGTCCAGATCCTCGCCGAACCATCTGGAGCTGGAGCTCGAGCAGCTGGAGGATCGATATCACCTGATCGTCGACAAGCTACCGGACAGCTGCGAGGAACGATCCGCGGATCGATCGACCGGCGTCGACGGGCTGAGGCTCGTGGAAGCCGGCCGAGGCCGCAAGCCCATCATGGTCTACTGTCGCAACGGATGGGTGGTGGTCGCGCGTCGCATCGACGGCACCTTCGACTTCGATCGCAGCTGGAACGACTACTCTCTCGGCTTCGGCTCGCCGGTCGGCGAGTACTGGATCGGCAACCAAATTCTGCACGAATTCACCCAGGACAATTGCACGCGGTTACGCATCGACATGCTGGACATTTACGGCGAACGCTGGCGCGCCGAATACGACTCGTTCGCGATCACCTCCGCGGAGACCGGCTACAGGTTGCTCGTCGACGGCTACGTCGGGAACGCGACCGACGCGATGTCTTATCAAAACGGGATGCCGTTCAGCGCCAAGGATCGCGACATGGACGATAGCACGGCCCACTGCGCGGCTAACTATCACGGAGGATGGTGGTTCAACCGGTGTCAGCACGCGAATCTCAATGGAAAATACTCGCTGGGTCTCGCCTGGTATCGCTCGGACACCGATCAGTGGATGTCGATCGCCGCCTCGGAGATGTCTATGCGTAGAAATCCCGACTGCCCTCGATCGCGGTAGCGTTCGATTCTATTTTCTATTTCTACCGGGTCGAGTCGTAAGCGATTGCCGGCTTTTAACGAACTATGGGGACAGTTCTCGTTATACAGGGTGTCCCAAAAATGTCTCGCAATCCGAAAGTGGCGGGTTCCTCGGGTCATTTGAAGCAACTTCTTCCTTTACAAAAATTTTCTCCGAGGCACCGTTGACGAGTTATTAACGAAAAACAGTGACCAATGAGAAGCGAGTACGACTGACGCGAGGCGGCCCAGCCAACCAGCGCGCGAAGCCCAGTTCCGCTCATTGGCTCGGCCGCCTCGCGCTAGCTGAGCTGGGATTCGACCGCCTCGGCCGCTGACGCCGAGCTCGCGCCAGCTGAGCTTCCTCTCATTGGCCACTGTTTTTCGCTAATAACTCGTTAACGGTGCCCCGGAGAAAATTTTTGTAAAGGAAGAAGTTGCTTCAAATGACCCGAGGAACCCGCCACTTTAGAACTGCGAGACAGTTTTGGGACATCCTGTATTTTCCATATTTTTAGAACTTGTCGTCCACCGAGACTCGAGTACGGGGTGTAAAAAGTATCAGTGTTGTGGTCGTCGTAACGCGATTCTACATTTCTGAATCGACGGAGGTTTACAATAAAATTGTGCTGTAGAAGTGACCTTGACAAAAATTTCGAAGATAAATATTCTTTTTGTATTGCATTGTACTCGACCGGGGGAACAATATTCTCATAGCTAGCGCATGAGCCATTCTCTTATAAAACGATTTTAATGTTTCAAAAATGTTCACAGTTACCGTTTCTACAATCTACTTTTGCATAAGTATGAAATGTTGATCGAGTTACCGTGTCGTGCTTTCGATAATATTGCACATAAATATTTCGTTAGCTGTGAATCAGTTTGTTTTGCTGTTACCAATACCGTTGAGTGCAAGGATGCGAAATGTTTACATTTTGCTTACATGTCCAAAATAGTTTTTTAGATATTAAAATCATTTTTTAGTGATCGGTTCATTTGCTACGGTTTCTTCGACACTTTTGTACCTCGCGAAGAGTACTATACGATGCAATAAAAAATATATTGCCTTGATAAGTTATGTCAACGTAATGTTTGCGGCGGATTTTATAAATCTCTACTGATACAGAGGTGCAATCGCGTCGCTTTTATTTTACCAAAGCAAAGAGATTAGGTGTCTTTGATAAAAGCAACGCGCGACGAATTCTCGTATCTTTGAGACTATAATCTCCAACTACAGTAATGTCTCTCTAATTGACGCTCAGGATTGTCCACAAAAGTAGAGAATTTTGGGAAGAGGAGATACGAATATTCGAGCCTTGCAGCTCGTTTTTATAATCGTTGACAATTCGTGACTATAAAAACAAACCGCAAAGCTCGAATAATCGCATCTCCTCTTCCTTCCAAAATTGTCCATTTTCGTGCGCAATCTAAGCGTCAATAAGGGAGACATTACTGTACTGTTCTCACCGCGGTCCTCCCGAGCAAATTTCTAACCAAATGCCTGCAATTGCTTACGACTCCGCTCGACACAATATTTCTCTCAATACCAAAGACTGTTGATCGCGCTGCGTCGCATTACATTATGTACGCTTGGTTCGCTACTATCTCCAAGAGAATTCGAACTCGACTCAGGTCGCGCGATGAAATAAAGAGTGAAAATTGTTTGAATTTGTCTCTCGAATGAACTTGCCCTTATCGACCGATTTCAGCCGAGAAACCAAAACGATCAACCGGTAGGTTCGCCAGGCCGGTCGACCCCGGATTTGTTCCTGCACTTCTTCTCGTGAACGAAGAGGCTACCAGAGTTGGCGTACGCCGCACCGCAGCTCTTGCAGGCGAACGGTTTCTCTCCTGTATGTGTAAAAACGTGCTCCTTCAAGTACTTGTAACGACCGAAGGATTTGTCGCAGGTCTCGCAGCGATAATTCGCCTCTCCGGTGTGCGACCTCAGATGATATCGGAGACCGTTCGACGAGGCGAACGCGGCGCTGCAAACGTGACAAACGAATTGCTTCTCCGCGGTGTGAATCCTCTCGTGCCTTTTCGCGTAACTCGGTATGGCGAACCGTTTGCCGCAGTGCCGGCAAGGGTGCGGTTTCTCGCCGACGTGCGACTTCAAGTGGAACCTCAGGCCCGATTTCGAGGCGAACGTTTTGCTGCACAAGTCGCAAAGGTACTTCTTTTCCCCTCGTTCCCCGCTTTCGGCGCAGGAGGACGTCTTCGCAGCTTCCGTTGTCGTTCTGCTCTGGGAACTGTGATCCTCTTCTTCGAGCTCTTTGTTTTTCCTTTGCTTGGCTATCGGCGTTCCCGATTCCGATTCTAGTTGGTGTCGAACAGATTCCGCTTCCTCCTCTTCTTCCGACTGAAAGCCCAACGGTTCCGCTCGCTTCCCAGTTCCGGTTTCCTCGATGACCTCGCTGTTATCGCGAACAATGTCGCAGCTCACAGGTCTCGCTTCCGATATTTTAGTCCGTTTGTCCACGCACGTTTGCGCGCCGCCCACCTGTACGTACAAGAAAACGACTGCTTTGTTCCATCGTGTCATCCGAATGCAAGCAGGTTCTCACTAATCGTCCTTCAGCTTGCGAATAAAAATAGTTTGTAAATTACTTTCCGGTAGACAATTTGGAAAGAAGAGGTACGATTACTCGAGCTTTGCACTTCGTTTTTTTTTATAATTGCTGACAATCGGCAACTATAAAAACGAGTCGCGAGGCTCGAATAATCGTATCCCTTCTTCCCAAATTGTCTATTCTTGTTTAAAAGCTCAAGGAAAATTAGAGAGAATTTATTGCAGTTTCCATAAAATCGGGACACCACATTTTCTCCGAGGAATCTCTTTTTCACCGAACCGAGTACAATAAAGCTTCAGCATATAAATAAAAGTGGACAATTTGGGAAGAGGAGATACGATTATCCGAGCCTCGTGGCTCGTTTTTATAGCCACCGATTGCCAACAACTATAAAAAAAGCCGCGAGACTCGAGTAATCGTATCCCTTCTTCCCAAATTGTCCATTTTCGTTTACAAGCTGAAGGACAATTGGGGAGAATTTACTGTGAAGTCTCAGTCGTCTCCCCCTTCGACTCCATAAATAATTAACACGTTGAATGCCACGCCGATTTTACAGAAATTGTCCGTGGCACCACGATGAATTTTCTTTTATGCGATACATATAATGTTGAAACATTATCTGCAATAGATAAGTTACAGTGTATAACCATGTCTGACATGTTAATTGCGACAGGGGTCATTGTTCGAATCGACAATGGTAATAATACAAAATTTTAGATATTCACATTTGTTTTCAATTATATATATTCCTATCAACTTGGGCGCGCCGGTCACCAGTGGCCCCCATGACGTCACCGCCAAGTTAAGTGCCGGTCACCGGTGACCCCCGTGGCATTCAACGTGTTAACCTTTTAGGCACGACGCGCCACTATAGTGGCTTCCGCGGATGTCATCTCTCTGAACGACGCGCCACTATAGTGGCTTACACTAGTAGCTCACTCGGTCATCGTTCGAATCAAATAATCGTCTTCATATGCATTGTTTCACACTTCTTTTGTCTTCACATCGATTTACAATATACATCGTCTTAATAGCCATCGATTGTCAACAACTATAAAAAAAACCGCGAGGCTCGAATAATCGTAACCCTTCTTCCCAAATTGTCTATTCTTGTTTAAAAGCTGAAGGAAAATTAGAGAGAATTTATTGCAGTTCTCATCAAATCGGGACACCACTTTTTCTCCGAGGAATCTCCTTTTTACCGAACCGAGTACAATAAAGCTTCAGCTTATAAATAAAAATGGACAATTTGGGAAGAGGTATCTTAACAATATAACTGTATCTTAACAATATACAGACAGAATATACAGACACTCTGTACAGTACATATCAGACTCTGCCGTCCAGAGAAATAGCCTCGCGCAGAATTCAGCCGTACCTAAAAGGTTAAAGTTGTCGGATGCAACGTCGAAAGTAAAACTTACCCGGAGAGCGCCGCTTTGTTCACGGAAACTAGACACGAAACGCGCGCGAAGCACGCGTTCCGATTCCCTGCACAGTTGACGGAATTGGTAAACAATGTCCAGCTTGTTCTCGCAGAGATCGCATATCGAGCTTGGCAAACGGTCATCGTCGAACAGCTGAATCGCGATATTACACGCATGATATTACGTGTAACGGCAGCAGACGTGAAAGACTGAGGATGGAAACTCACCGTGATGGGACAACAGTCTAGAATTCGGGAACGCAGCCGCTCGGTAGCGGTTCCTTCTACGAATAACGGTCTCGAATAAACTTTCTCGCGGAGGCATAACCTGCAGCAGCTGTTCGTACCGTTTCCAGCTTCGCCGAGGTGAGTCTGCGAAACCTTCATTCCTCTTCCAAGGGATCTTCTTAACTATGTGTTACCGTTTTCTCGCAGCCTTCGGACTTTTTGAACAGAGACGACCGGTGCACATACACGAGCAACACCTGCGCACGTTTCGATCCCGTCCTCCGCACATGTGTATCCGAGGATGCGATGTCTCGACGATGCATACGCACGATGTCGCGACGTTAGGCGTTCGAATCGACTTTGACGACACGCGTGGCGACGCGTAACGCGATTCGTCGAAATACACGTGCACGGCTATCGCTCGATTGACCGCAGCCATGCTTCGCTCCCTTCTCCCTCGCTTTCCCTTTCCCCGGTCCCTTCTGTTTGACCAATGCGGCCTCCTCGTTTTGCCGCGTGCCCTTCCTTTCCTTGACGGGCTACGTAATCGCAAACTATGTATATTGTATAATCGCGATTATGCGCGTATGTTCCGATGCGTATCGACGTTTTCAAGTTTGAAATACGTACAGTAAATTCTCTCTAGTTTTCCTTCAGTTTTTAAACAGAAATGGACAATTTGGGACGAGGAGATACGATTATTCGAGTATTAGTAACTAGTAATGAAATTGTTAATTTTATCAAATAAAACCGTCTTTTTGATTCAATATTTTAAGAGCGGCACTTACATTGTGTTTGACGAGTGTACTCGTCGTCGCTTGATTCTCGCGAAACATATAGGTGCGCGCTCTGAAATGGAGGCGCCACAACTAACTGGTTAATAATACAGTAAATTCTCCGGAATTATCGCTCAGGTTGTACCTAAAAAAATGCACAATTTGGGAAGAGGAGATACGATTATTCGAGTATCAGCAACTATAAAAACGTACCGCGAGGCTCGAATAATCGTATCTTCTCTTCTCAAATTGTACATTTTTACGCACAATCTGGGCGACAATTGGGAAGAATTTACTGCACCACACTCAGGCTAGATTACCAATTACCTTTGGTATATAAGGTAATATCTCCTTAAGGCTAGCTGTGTAAAAATGCTCTTTCTGCAGCACAGTTTTCATCTCGCTCACGTCCAGGAATTGGAGAGCTTGCACCGAAGGGTCACTGGAAAGACAGCGATGTTCGATGGAACGTCGTCCCCTATGTCCGAGGAGCATAATTATTTGAACGACGGAACATTTCGTATTTGATCGTTTCAGCTTAATCTCTTGACATACAAATAAAACGGAACTTGACGCGCCCGAAAAATCCCATTTAATTTGGCTCAACCAAACGGTTACGCGCAAGCTGAGAAAGAGAATGTTTTATTTCGAAATTTGAATTATCGATTTGTGGATGCAACTTTGTTATTGGTACCGTCGAGAAAGTGGGATGGTGGGGCATATTGAACATTGTAAACAAACCAGAATTGACGCACGAGCGAAGCAACCGAGTACAGTAAATTCTCTCCAATTTTCCTTCAGTTTGCAAACAGAAATGGACAATTTGGGACAGTAGACGACTGTCGACAATTATAAAAACGAGGCGCAAGGCTCGAATGATCGAAACGTTCTTGTTTACAGGCTGAAGGAAAATTAGGGTGAATTTACCGTATTCGGATTTCTCGAACTAAAAGCGACGGAGGACACGGACAGTGTTGAACATTGTTCACGTTGCAAGGAAACGCATACTCGACACGTTGTTTCTTTATTGATAGTTTTTGAAAGTAATACACGAAAAATACACTCACGCCAATAATATTGAACAATGATTGAACGAGTCGGAAGGTAGAAGTAGCTCGAGCTCTTTTGTTTGACGAGTCTTGTTTTCAGGGGGGAGGGGTGGGAATCGCGGGATTCGATTTGTTCGCTGTGAACACATATTTTCGACGGGGCATCGATTGAGCGAATCGCTCGTCGACGATTCAATTTTCTAGAACTTTCAGTGCAGAATAACGACAACGACCATGACGACGACATCGTAAACATGATTCTAATAATACGAACGAAAGTGTAACCGTAGACATAACATGCAGATGTAAATATATGTAGATATAGACATAGATATACATATACAGATTAGATAGACATGGAGACGAGGTACAGAATACAGACACAGATACGAGTACGGATTGGGATACGGGTATGGATATGGGTTCGGGTATGGGTATGGACATGGATTTGGGCATGGATTTGGATAGGTATACGGATACAGATACAGACATAGACGTAGGTAATAGATATTGTAGATATGTATAATATACGACGAGAGTGACGCACTCGATCAAGCGGTCCGTTTAACTCGTTAGCAACCGATGATTGTCCGATACTTTTTTTACCAGTTAGCTGTGTTTGACGAGTATACTCGTCATGGAGAAACGGCAATATTTTGTGACACGACGAGTATGCTCGTCGCGCGTAAGAAATAGCGACCATTGGCTATTCAAATTGTAATTTTAAGGAAAACAAAAACATATTCTCAAATTTCAAGATGTTCAGAATATTTTGAGGCCAATCCTGCACAAAGATGTTTTTACATTGTTATAAAAATAAAATTAGAAAAGAATCACGGTATTGGGTGTTCGACGTGCAAAGTGCCGTTATATATTGTTCTTTGCTTTGCTAAATACCACTCTCTCTACAGCAGCAATTTGAATTTTTAACTTTTATAAGTATTCGATTATCCCTGGGTTTTTCGGTTATTATGTATATGGTATATATTAACGTCAAGCGAATAAGTAAATATTAGTAATGAAATTGTTAATTTTATCAAATAAAACCGTCTTTTTGATCCAATATTTTAACAGCGACACTTATATTGTGTTTGACGAGTATACTCGTTTGATTCTCGCGACATATATAGGTGCGCGCTCTGAAATGGAAGCGCCACAGCTAACTGGTTAAATATATACGATGCACGGTAATAGCAATTCAACGCAGATAATACGATCGAATAATTTCTGTAGCGATTGTCGTTTAGCAAAGAAGATCTCGAAGCTTCTTTCGAACGTAGTACATACTCGGAGGCTTGTAAATTAGTTTCCGGTAGATAAAGCGTTACAAATGATTGCCACTTGATCGATGATTCGATTGCACATCGGCGGCAAGTTGCCGTTGTAAACAATCGAAGGTATCCGAGACGAACCCAAGGGGATCGAGCAACAGCTGTAGGAAGACCGAGAAATTTGATACACCGCGTGACCTTCGTTCGAGACACAGTTCGCCGCCGAATGACCGAGTGCGTCTTGTATAAATTATCGACTAAACAGGTACGCGTTCAAGGAATCGACGCTTCGAGAGAGAATGATTGTCACATGTTCTGACCGTGTGTGGCGCGATCGGCACGCGGAACACGCTGATCGCGCACGAATATAATAGTTATAATAGTTTAAGACGGACCGAGCAACGCTTCAAAAGTCGGCGAATTATCGAATCGTCGTTGACGTAATTAACCGGTGGCTGGACGAGCGCGCGAGCAAGCAAACACGTGTACGAATCTCGATCGACTATTTTTTGAGCCCGAACGAAGCCTCGGATTAATGCCTCGGGCTAATAATACTCGCGTAACTCGAAAATGATTGTCCACAATTGTCCATGATTGTCCAGGATTGTCCAAGGTAGCTTAAAGTTGTCCGTGGTTCCGTTAGCGCGTGTTTCGATTATGCTGGAGCATTCCGCGCGTTCGGCGAACCTTAAGGACACTTGTTTAGGGTCGCTTGATACGAAGACGCGCTCCCTAGTTTCTCTTGTTTCTCTTTTTTTTTCTAACCTTCCTTTCTTCCCCTCGCTCCTCGGCTTTTTACAGACTTCATACTCGAAGCAGATCACGCGCGAATCGATTCGCGTTCGTCTGGCTCGAAACAATCGCAATACCAGACCAATCGCAAATACCGAGAGAGAGAGACCGTGGATACGATTATGCTACTGCGCAAATAGTGGCGCACGTTTGATTGATATGTATCGCGGCGCAACGTGACGCACCGAGCGACAACTCGCGCGGCTCGCACAAACTTCCTCGACGGGATAGTGCGGTGGCGCGGTCTTGAAATCTTTTTACAAAAATCTAGATGAAAATTTATAGTACAACAATTGACATGGAATCGCGATATTCTGAATTTTCTATCGCTGAAATGAACGGAGCACACGAAGAGAATGACGGAAAAAGTGTGAGAGAGAAAGAGAGAGATATACGTATGTCCCGAAAATGTCTCGCAATCCGGAAATGGGAGGTTCCCGAGGTCATTCGAAGCAACTTTTTCCTTTGCGAAAATTTTCTCCGAGGTTTCGTTTACAAGTTATTAACGAAATACACTGACCAATGTAAGAGGCGAGCTCGGCTGGCGCGCTTCGGCTCAGCCAACGAGTGCACGAAACCCGGTTCCGCTCATTGGCTCGGCCGTCTCGCGCCAAATGATCTCGCCTCTGATAGGTCACTGTTTTTCGTTAATAACTCGTAAACGAAGCCGCGGATCGCATTTTCGCTAAGGAAAAAGTTGCTTCAAATGACCTCAGGAATCCCCTACTTTCGGATTGCGAGACATTTTTGGGACACCCTGTAGAGGTAGAACTCGCCGCCTCTAGACGATAGAGATAGATGCCGCCTCTATCGAGGCAAACATTCGCAGGTACACGCAGCCTATTTGTATACGGCGAAGACACAAAACACATGTTACTTTCGGTACAGCGCGTTCGCGCGGGAACCGCGGGAACAGACGCGCTGCGCGTTCTGTTCCTCAGCTTCGCGTCGCTACGCGCTAAACACAATGAGAACTTACGCTAGGACAAAAGTCGCGGGCGGCATGGTACGAGCTACGTACAGTAACGTCTCTCTAATTGACGCCCGGATTATCCACAAAAATAGACAATTTTGGAAGAGAAGACACGATTGTTCGAGCCTTGTGGCTCGTTTTTTTATGGTTATCGATTGTCAACAACTATAAGAACGTGCTGCGGGGCTCGAATAATCGTGTCTCCTCCTCCCAAATTGTCCATTTTTCTGCGCAATCTGAGCGTCAGTTAGGGAGGGACGTTATTGTACACAAAAGCGTTCGGTAGAAAATAAAATCCCATGAAATTTCCATAGTTGCTCGACAGAGTGTCCGCGGGAACGCTGTTCGTCCTCGTTCCGTTTAAACGGGCCAAAGAAATGATTGTACAGTTGACTTTCAAGGTCGCGAGATCTCCTCGCGCTCATGTTTCCGGGTGATCGTAGCTCGTTACCACGATTTCTGCAACGCTTCGACGCAGGCTCGACGATTCAGCGTCGCGACCTCTCTGCTCCTGTGTCGAACTTGCTGAGAAATTGGTACTGGAAACAGACGAAAGGCTGCGATTAGAATTCTTCGGGGAAACGAATCGGATCGAACTACCTGCTGCGACTCGGACCACTGCGATCGACCGAACCCGTGCACGTTCGCTGCTTCTCCTTCGCAGCCGCCTTCGATTTGTAATTGTCAAGACGACCTACCTTTCCCATCTCCTTGAACGCCGGAGCGTGTTTGTCGGCTATTTCGACGGAACGCTATGGAACCATTCGATGGGTCGATTCGAAGATCGAACGACAGTGGAACACGTGCATGTGGCTAAATTAACCGCGAAGCGGAAGTGCGGGTCTCGGCAAGTCAATGAGAACACAGGTTAGACTAGAGCTGGATCAGGGAGGAGAAAGAGAAAGAGAGAGAGAGAGAGAGAGAGAGAGAGAGAGAAGCAAAGAAACTGGGAAAAGTACGAAAGCTCTCGAGCAGGTGGTGGGCAAACAATTCTTCTATATTTCCAACAGAAATTGCAAGTATCGCGTGAACGTCGGTTTAGAGGGCTAAGTCGAGGCTTGTTTGTTTACAGTATGCGCTAACGAGATGCGTGCAACTCGCTATTGGAACGACACAGTGCAACGAAAGTCGCTCGCTCGACGGATCATCTAATTGCAAGAGCGTTACTAGCGCGTTACAGTTCGAGATATCGACGGGAAATATTGGCCTGTTTCACGGTTCACAGTCGAGAGCTGCGAAGGGGCGGAGAAGAAGAAAGACTGCTTTGGACGACCAATATTTGCCGCCGTTGTCATGCCGCACAGTGGTCGATATTCATGTAAAGTGGGACAAAACGAAAAAACAAATTGTTTTATAAATTCAAGATTATTGGATAATTTGATCCGTTAGTATCTGACACGTGTCCGATTATAAGCGGGAAAAATGTGTAAACAAATTGAATTTATTCTCAGAAGTAATTTTTCTCTCCCACCGAAATAGCTTATTAACTTATTGAAAATCCTGAAAATATGACTTTAAAATATTGCAATAATAATCATAGTCTATAACATATGTTTCGGTGTAACAAGTTCGTTGGAATGCGTTCGAATCAATTGTTTCTTGTTGTAACTACGGTATAAGATTGAAAATCGTAAACACAAGTGCCTGTTAACCTGCGGGATGGCCAATTTTCATTTATTTCATATATTATCAATTTTATAAATTTTATTGCACTGCCGATGGGAAAAACCAGTTACAGTAATGTCTTTCTAAGTTACGCTCAGATTGTCCACAAAAATGGACAATTTGGGAGCTTTGCATAACTTTGACATTACCTTGACAATTCGTAGCTATAAAAAACGAGCTACAAGGCTCGAATAATCGTATCTTCTCTTCCCGAATTTTCCATTTTCGTGGAGAATCCGAGCGTCAATTAGAGAGACATCACTGTACTCTCTTAGCTCTGTTAATTTAACCTTGACAATTCGTAACTATAAAAAGCGAGCTACAAGACTCGAATAATCGTATCTTCTCTTCCCAAATTGTCCATTTTCGTGGACAATCCGAGCGTCAATTAGAGAGACAAACCTACACATGTTAACGATCACGCTCCGTGCAACCTCATTCCCGTCAGAAATCTGTAATTGACAAAGCAAGACGAATCGCGTCGCAACAAATTGCCATTTACCTATGATGAATACACTCGCGCATAGTTAGAGCTAGCCAAAGTAATTCATCAACGGCGATATCGACAATGATTAACGTCATCCGATACGAAGCGAAAGCTTGCAAGGTCTTAATACGCCATCGACCGTCGAAGTATTTTCTATCAACAGAACGAGTCATTGATCAGGGAGGTATTCAAACGATCACAGTCCGCAAAATGATGAGAATCGACCACCGTGACACCATGATCTCTCTATCGCAGAGCACTCTATGCCAAATAGAAAAAGTGAGAGGCGCTGCGACGATGGTTAAGCTACTGATTATCCTTACACTGTAACGAAGGGTCAATGGGAAAGCTGTCCCGGTAGCTGGAGTAATGGAGAAAGTGTTGGTTGTGATGGTGGTGGTGGTCCATTGAGGTTCAGGCAGATGGGGAGTTGTCTTACCATGCTGGAGCCAACCTGCTGCAGCAACCCGGTGCCCTGTCTGGACGACGTGGACGAACTCGACGGACGCCTCGTTCCTCGTATGCTGGTCAAGCTCGGGCTGCTGAGCAAGTACGGCACGCTGCTACTGATTATCGGCATCCCACCGCACTGTCAATAATACCCGAACAGAATCAATTATGTACAGTAATATCTCTTTAAGTGACGTTCAGATTGTCCGCAAAAATGGACAATTTTGGAAGAGGAGATGCGATTGTTCAAGCCTTGCGGCTCGTTTTTATAGTTATCGATTGCCAATAACTATAAAAACGAGCCAAAAGGCTCGAATAATTGTATCTTCTCTTCCTGAATTGTCTATTTTTGTGGACAATCAGAAGTAATTTTTCTCTCCCACCGAAATAGCTCCAACTTATTGAAAACCCTGAAAATATGACTTTAAAATATTGCAATAATAATTATAGTCTAAACATGTGTTTCGGTGTAACAAGTTCGTCGGAATGCGTTCGAATCAAGTTTCTTGTTGTAACTACGATATAAGACTGAAAGTCGTAAACACGTCCAAGTGCCTGTTAGCCTGCGGGACGGCCAATTTTCATTTATTTCATATATTATCAATTTTATAAATTTCATTGCACTGCCGATAGGAAAAACTAGTTACAGTAATGTCGCTCTAATTGACGCTTAGATTGTCCGCAAAAATAGACAATTTGGGAAGAGGAGATACGATTCATCGAGCCTTGCATAACCTTGACATAACCTTGATAATTCGTAACTATAAAAAACGAGCTACAAAGCGCGAACAATCGTATCTTCTTTCCCCAAATTGTCCATTTTTGTGGACAATCCGAGCGTCAATTAGAGAGACATTACTGTACTTTCTTAGCTCTCTTAATTTAACCGTGACAATTCGTAACTATAAAAAACGAGCTATAAGGATCGAATAATCGTATCTTCTCTTCCCAAATTGTCCATTTTTGTGGACAATCTGAGCGTCAATTAGAGAGACATTACCGTATACCATTCGTATAATTGAACGGTATTTCAAAGATAATCAAATTAATGCAATGAAATGCCCTGCTCGCCATCCAGACAGAAATGCTTTGGGCAAAAAGTGTGCAAAACTGAGAAGATTGATAACGAATTCTTGAAAAGTATTAATATTGTTAATAAAATATTAGCATTGTACGTTTCGGAACTAACGTCGAATATGAAAATGAACAAATTTTATGCGTGTCCAGTAAAATTGGAACACCGCAATTATGAAGCATGATAATATACTTTCGTACTTTCGAATACAAGAATTCTCTTCCGATATACAGTAATGTCTCTCTAATTGACGCTGAGATTGCGCACGAAAATGGACAATTTAGGAGGAGGAGATGCAATTATCCGAGCTTTGCGGTTTGTTTTTATAGTCACGAATTGTCAACGATTATAAAAACGAGCTGCAAGGCACGAATAATTCTATCTCCTCTTCCCAAATTGTCCAGTTTTGTGCACAATCTGGGCGTCAGTAAGGGAGACATTACTGTATCGCGTTCGGTTCGCCGAACATACTTCCGTGTCCGCGGAAATTAGTCGACGACGCTCGAAATAACGAATTCGAGAGAAGCGATGGAAAATGAGAAGGTACGATACCGTGGGTGGTGACAAGTTGATGCGTGATCCATGCGGATCTTGGGAACCGGTGCTCGAGTGACGACGGAACGGCATTCCACCGCCGGGTGTCCCACCGGGTGAGCTCACGCAGGATTGCGCGACGCGAATCTTTGGCGCCGTCAGCGTGTTGTCCGATAAACGTCGGTTCGTAAAGATGTTGTTCACTCTGAGGAAGTTGCCGTCGTGCTTCGAAAGCGAGAACCATTCTATCACGGGAGCAACAAAGCGATAATATATCGTATCGTTTAATATGCATTGTTTACCGCACGTTGTTGGCGGTTGGTTTGACAAATGCGTTCAGACCTTGATCTCCGAAAATCGAAGTGAAAGTGACGTAAATATTATAGTACGAGCGCTTGCAACAAATGTGTATGAATAATAGGCTGTCGCTTACCCGCCACTGAATTCTTCCTCGCCATGTTCTCGGCCGAGGCTGTCATCGATATTGAACCTACGCCGCGGCGGCAGTCAATTTTAGTCAATTTTACGATGAACAATTAACCCTTAGCGCTCCGTTGGCTTCACTATGGAGACATACGTCATTTGTGCCGTAAATCCGAAGGCTCTGCTGCGGAGCTAAATGTTTTTAGCAGAATTACGCCGGAAATGCTATGTTTTTGTCGACGTTGGCAATTGTTATTTGTAGTGAAAACGTGCTTAGCGTGTGTACCATTACGATTAAAACATTTGTTGCCCATTTTTATACTTAGCAACATAAAATGAATAAAATCGAACGCTTTCGCAAGGACGTGTAATCTTTTCCGCTCAAAATAAGACTTCCTTTATCTCGGGCGCTTTGCTCCAAAAATGTGCCGGAGTTGCTGGTAGTGATATTTTTCAGAAAAACGCTGTTCAACTTTATTTTAGAACGTCCGAAGAATATTTACTAATTTTTAATTTAATTTAATTGTTAATCGAGCCGATTCCAGCGAAGATTAACAATAAAAAAATTCCGGCAAACTCACGCAAAAGATATTTTTGTTTCAATAATTCCGTATCCAAACAGAATTCAACGGACGATTCGCAATACTAATTTTATAATAAATCGCGTCAAAGAACACGACGGATATATTTATTTAAGAATTGCGAAAAATATCATTAATAGTAAATTTACCCGTTTCGATGAGGATGCATTTGCTGCTTGGAAATTTCGGTCACAATTCACGATGTCGATGCACCGACCTCGCACAATGTTAAGTAGATACCAGTACGATTAAAACATTTGTTGCCCATTTTTATACTTAGCAACATAAAATGAATAAAATCGAACGCTTTCGCAAGGACGTGTAATCTTTTCTGCTCAAAATAAGACTTCCTTTATCTCGGGCGCTTTGCTCCAAAAATGTGCCGGAGTTGCTGGTAGGTAGTACTCGAGAAACGCGTGGAGCGCTAAAGGTTAACAACGAGCCTGTGTTATGAGAGAAACGCGCCGCTTTTCTTACCCGTGCTCGCTTTCCTGGCCATGTCCTCGGCGGAGGAAGTTTTACGTTGCTCCACCCGGAGGTTCGGTATATTGAACGGCGGGACATGCATGTTATCCGTGCTGTACTGATGTCGCAAGCTCCAGTGCTTCTCCGGACTCAACGAGGACGGGTGGTTCAACGATAATTGATTCCTCTGATTTCTGTTGGAGATCGACGGAATAAGAGCAAATTAGGCAAGAACCTGTGCGGGATCGAGGTGCCGTGTTGCGAAATAAAACGTTTCCGTCACCTTTCGATGTGGCTGAACATCTGCTGTAAAACTTTCACGAGTATATCGAACTGATCGAGGTTCAAAGCTGGGTTGATCGTCTGAGGCAACAAGGAGGGCATCGCTCGGGTCGCCATCCAGCTCACCGTGAGCCCATACTTTTTATCACTCAACATCAATCTATAAATTTCTGGCGACGAGCCGTGTTAGTAAACGATCGTGATCAAGGACGAACGGGTAAGGAATCGGGGTTGGTGAAATTTTAGTCTTCTTGTACGATGTAACATTGCTGTTGTACATAGTATGTATACAGAGTGTCTCAGGATCAAGTTAACAGAAAAGGGTGGGAAAGGGTGATTCCCGAGGTCATTTGAAGTAACTTTTTCCTCGGCGAAAATGCAATCCGTGGTTTCGTTTACGAGTTATTAACGAAAAACGCTGACCAATGAGAGGCCAGCTCTCCTGGCGCGACGCGGCCGAGCCAATGAGCCGAGCAGGGCTCCGACCACTCGTTGACTGAGCCGCGTCGCGCCGGCTGAGCTCATCTCTCATTGGTCACTGTTTTTCGTTAATAACTCGTAAACGGAGCCGCGGATTGCATTTTCGCTGAGGAAAAAGTTACTTCGAATGACCTCAGGAATCATCCCTTTCCAGGTGTTAACATAATTATGGAAAAGCCTATGTAGCGTGTGTATACATATAGTACAGAGGTGGCCAAAGCGTATACAGGGTGTCCCAGGTTTTAATGTTCAAACTTTGTCAGTATATTCTATGGCACAGAGTAAGAAAAAAATGTTATGTAAACATAGGTCATATAGAGCTTTATTAAGAAGTTATAATAAAAATTCGTTCAATGAAATGAAAGAGAATAGAAACTACTTCCCTTACTACCTCCATCAACCCATATACGACCGCCTATAATTTAAATACATAATTAAACTATAATTTAAACCTTCTATAATTTAAAAATGCAGATCGTCCGCAGCGATCGAAAGTTTGCCCACCCCTGATATAGTAGAATAATATCGCAAACCGTAAGACTGTTTCGGAGTCATCGTGTGTATACTCACTTACAACCCGAACGATAATCTCCGGCTCTTGAAGGTGAGCGTTATACAACAACGGCAGGATCATGTCGACGATCTCCTGCTTCTCCAACCGATTTAGTATACAGGGGACCACGTTCAACAGCACGCGAGCGTCGACCGAGTTCTGTTCGAACGCTTGAAGCAATTTTGGCAGAATGATGCTTCGGATGGCGTCGTCGTCTGTGATGTAGTCGGTCATCACGTTCGTAGCTGCTACGAACGCGGCGGTCTAGAAAAACGAGCAGATTTTTCTCTCGAGGCGTATCGAGTTTGCTAGTGCGAACTGTCTGTGAGAACGGTCGGTTTTCGTACGTACCTGTACCTGCGTCGTTGAATTGTTAAACGAATCGTAAAGCAAGTGAAGCACTTCCGACTCCCGGTACTTTCTCTGTGTTCTCATTAGTATCAAATGCAAATTTTCTAGGAGCGTGACCGTTCCCTGAATCGATTTATGACTCGCGAACAGCTTGCTGCGAAAACGGATACGGTCGTTATCGTTGTTTCCGATCAAAAAGTGTCACGAAGAAGGAGGAAGACGATCGAATACCTCAATGCTGGATAGATGATGTTATCGTATTCGTCTTGAGTACTCTCTTGCACGATGTAAAATACTGACTGTAGAACCGCCGACTGAACTTCTTGGCTTTCCAATTCGATTTGCAGGTACGTCCAGATATGCTGGTACCATAGTTTCTGCGAATTGAAGCGCATAAGGTAGGATTCACGGTTAGCGAGTGTTCGGGTGTTAACAGATTCACCACACATTTAACCAGTTAGCTGTGTTCGACGAGTATACTCGCAATAGAGAAATGGCAATATTTGAGCCGTTTATTTTGAAAGTGGCATAAGTCACTTTTTTTTTTTAATGAAAAGATACCGTTCAATTGTAATTAGTGTTACCATTAACTCGATTTTTTTGAAAATGTCACTTATGCCACTTTCAAAATAAACGGCTCATTTTATGACACGACGAGTATACTCGTCGCGCGTAGGAAGTAGCGACCATTGGCTATTTAAATTGTAATTTTAAGGAAAACAGAAACGTATTCTCAAATTTCAAGATGTTCAGAATATTTTTAGGCCACGAAGTTGTTTACATTGTTATAAAAATAAAATTAGAAAAGAATCACGGTATTGGTGTTCGACGTGCAAAGTTCCTTGCTTCGCTAAATACCACTCTCTCTAAAGCAGCAATTTGAATTTTTAACTTTTATAAGTATTCGATTATCCCTGGGTTTTTCGTTTATTATGTATATGGTATATGCTAAAAACGTCGAGTGAATAAGTAAATATTAGTAATGAAATTGTTAATTTTATCAAATAAAACCGTCTTTTCGATCCAATATTTTAACAGCGTCACTTATATTGTGTTTGACGAGTATACTCGTCGTCGCTTGATTCTCGCGACACATATAGGTGCGCGCTCTGAAATGGAGGCGCCACAGCTAGCTGGTTAATAATACAGTAAATTCTCCGGAATTGCCGCTCAGGTTGTACTTAAAAAAATGCACAATTTGGGAAGAGGAGATACGATTGTTCGAGTATCAGCAACCATAAAAACGTGCGCGAGGCTCGAATAATCGTGTCTTCACTTCTCAAATTGTACATTTTTACGCACAATCTGGGCGACAATTAGGAAGAATTTACTGCACCACACTCGGGCTAGATTACCAATTACCTTTGGTATATAAGGTAATATCTCCTTAAGGCTAGCTGTGTAAAAATGCTCTTTCTGCAGCACAGTTTTCATCTCGCTCACGTCCAGGAATTGGAGAGCTTGCACCGAAGGGTCACTGGAAAGACAACGAAGTTCGATGGAACGTCGTCCCCGATGTCCGAGGAGCATAATTATTCGAACGACGGAACATTTCGTATTCGATCGTTTCAGCTTAACCCCTTGACATACAAATAAAACGGATCTTGACGCGCCCGAAAAATCCCATTTAATTTGGCTCAACCAAACGGTTACGCGCAAGCTGAGAAAGAGAATGTCTTATTTCGAAATGTGGATTACCGATTTGTGGATGCAACTTTGTTATTGGTACCGTCGAGAAGGTGGGATGGTGGGGCATATTGAACATTGTAAACAAACCAGAATCGACGCACGAGCGAAGCAATCGAGTACAGTAAATTCTGCCCAATTTTCCTTCAGTTTTTGAACAGAAATGAACAATTTGGGACGAGAAGATACGATTATTCGAGCCTCGTGTCTCGTTTTTATAGTTCCCGATCGTCAAGAATTATAAAAACGAGGCGCGAGGCTCGAATAAATCGTATCTCATCTTTCTAAATTGTCTATTATTGTTTACAAGCTACAGGAAAATTAGAATTAGAGAACCTGACGGAGCTCTCGACGAATTAGACTCGTCAAAGTCTACAGTGGCACACGAAATGAACGGCGACTCGTCATTGTATGTCAAAGGGTCAACGTACTTTTTTTTTGTTGGAGATCAAAGTCGCGTTTCGTTCGAATAAAGATGAACGGTAACGTTTATACCCACGGTACACATATATAGGCAAGGCTTAAGATGGTTGGTTATCGCTACGTACTGAAAATATTTGATCTGCAGCATTGTTTGAACGGTCGGCCTTTGTTCCGGCTCGTTGTGCAACAGATGAGAGACGGCTTCCCGCAGAGGCAGCGGTATCGAAGGCAACATCACGGCGACTTGTGTGACAAGCTGCGGTGCAACAACATACGAAAAAAATGCCCCTTTTGGAACCGATCACGATCACGATCACGACGGATCACACGTTCAATAGCGAAAGAGAAAAGACTTTGGAAAGAAGAGAACAACGAGTAGGAAGAATGTATCTTAAGAGAGTCGACGAGAGTCAACGAAAGTAAACCCGTGAATCAACTCACGTTATCTATTTGCTTCAGGTATTCGGTGCAACTGTGATTCGCTTGAATCAGTGGCCGACCTTGATTGAAAATCGCGCATATTGTCATGCCGAAGCTGTACATGTCGCTGTAGAAGCTTCCCTGTTTCTTTTGCTGTATTTCTGGAGCTACGGGGCCGCAACGTTACGCGTTACACGCGTTCGCCACGTTACACGGTAACGCGTAACGCGTGTCGAATTCGAATGCAAGTTTAAAAAAGAAAAACGGATCGTGACAATAAAACACAACTGTGCGCTTTCTCGAACAGATTCTCTGCATGCTTACCCGTGTAATCGAGATTGGGCTGCGTCATTTTCGGCGCGTGCACATGGTTCGTCCACGGTTGCAACGGTATCGGCATTTCGTCGCTAGTGTTCTCTTCTAAAAGGGAAAGAAAGAAACAACAAAAGGGCCGTTAGAACGTGTCCTGCGAGACGACGATAACTGCGATTAAGCAACGACGACGACAACAACGACAACGACAACGAAATACGCGGACCAATGAGAGGCGAGGTCAGCTGGCGCGGGGCGGCCGAGCCAATGAGGGGAGCTCGCCTCTCATTGGTCCACTGTTTTTCGTTAATAACTCGTGAACAGAGTGGCGGATCGCATTTTCGCTCAGGAAAAAGTTACTTCGAATGACCTCAGGAATCATCCCTTTCCATAATGTTAACATAATGTTCTATGTAACTTAATGTTCCATAATGTTAACATAATTATAGGAAAGCCTGTATAGTGTGCGTATACAGGGTGTTCCACAATTGTTTTAACAGCAGAAAATGAGGCTTAGCTGAGGTCATTCGAAGTAACTTTTTCCTTAGCGAGAATGCAATCCGCGGCTTCGTTTACGAGTTATTAACGAAAAACGCTGGCCAATGCGAGGCGAGATCAGCTGGCGCTGTCTCTTATACACATCTAGATGTGTATAAGAGACAGCGCCAGCTGATCTCGCCTCTCATTGGTCCACTGTTTTTCGTTAATAACTCGTGAACAGAGTGGCGGATCGCATTTTCGCTCAGGAAAAAGTTACTTCGAATAACCTCAGGAATCATCCCTTTCCAGGTGTTAACATAATTATGATTACAAAGCGATATCTCCATTATCGTTACTGATACGCAGAAATGCTTGAGGAACAAATTGTTTGGTTCGAAGGGACACATGTTGTGGTGGAAATCATTTTTTTGTAAGGGTTGTATTTTTTGAGATTTCATGGTCATCGATGTTTTTTCAAATGGGATTACATATTTCTATTATATTATATCACGATAGCTAAGATCAAGACGAATCTAGTAACCTATAATACCATGACCATCGTGTGACCTTGGGTGCGAAAGACGGAATTTTTAGACATGGACACGCATAATGAAATAACTACAACAGGGAGATCAGCGATGAAAAATTTATTGTAATAAATGTTCAAAATTATTTCCATTGACTTCAAGACATTTATTAATGCGATTATGAAAACTCTGACAGAGCTCCATACTCCATACCAAAACGTTGTACCAAAAAGCGTGATGTCTACCGAAAGGAACATAGCATATATATATAAATATATATATATATATAAACATGCTGGCATTTGGTATCAATAAACGTGTTGTCCATGTCTAAAAATTTCTTTATTTTTCGTACCCAAGGTCACACGAAGGTCATGGTACTATAGGTTATTAGATTCGTCTTGATCTTAGCTGTCATGAAATAGTGATAGAAATATATAATCCCATTTGAAAAAACATCGTTGACCTTGAAATCTCAAAAAATATGACCTTTACAAAAAAATGATTTCCACCACAACACATGTCCTTTCGAACCAAACAATTTGTTACTGAAGCATTTCCGCGTATCATTAACGATAATAGAGATATCGCTTTGTAACAGAGTCACTGAGACACCCTGTACAGTACAGGGGTGGCCAAAGCGTCGACCGCGTAACTAAATTCTCAGTCGCCCGCCTGTCTGATATTACCAATGTTTATTCCAAATTCGAACTTATTTTTGGCTTTAAATTACTACTTCCCTTACTACCTCCCTCAACACACACACGCGACCGCCAATAATTTAAATACATAATTAAACTATAATTCAAACCGCCTATAACTTAAAAATGCAGATCGTCCGTAGCGATCGAAAGTTCGGCCACCCCTGATATAGTAGAATAATATCGAATAGAGAAGAACAGCGAGAAGAATAATACAACAACGACAACAACAGCAGCAGCAGCAACAATAGCAGCAGCAGCAGCGACTTACCGATAAATTCAAGACCAGACAGTTTCCAAGTGCCTCTCTTGGTAATTATAATACTAGCGGGGCAAACGTTTCTATGGAGAATTTTACAAATTCCATGAAGAAATAGCAAGGCCTCGGCGATCTGACGCGTCCAATGGGAAGAGAGAAGAAAAAAGAGGGAATCAGAAGATGGGAAGACGCGAAGACAATCGAATCGCGCCCGCTACCCCGCGTCTCACCTGCAGCAGCCCGTACTTAATCTCGATCTCGAGCAGTTTGTATTCCTTCGCGAATGTGGTACGATGCCCGGTAGCCGAGGAGGCGTGTTTCGCGGTATTGGTCGACGGCTGATCGAGATTGCTCGTCTCCCTATAAGCTAACACGTTCGCGAGACTAGCCAGAACAGGCTCCGAGACGAATGCCAGACTGTCCGAGCATTCCTCGACTTCGTACGCCTGTCGGGGAAATAAACGACAAATCACCAGAAACTCTTGCCCAGTCGCGAGTTCTCGGTTGCCAGTTGCCCATCATCGCGAGTCGCGAGAGGTTTAAATTCCCCCGGCTTACCTGAAGTATCTTCTTATGGCTGATGCACTCCATCTTCAGCGCGCCTTTCCGCAGAATATCCGTGACCATCTCCTTCCGTTTCGGCTTGCACAGCTTCTCGACCGATCTCTTGTCGAACAGAAATATCGAGACCTCCTGGAAACCACGGATGAAAACCGGTCACGGTCACTGTGTCATGGTCGNACGGAATTTTTAGACATGGACACGCATAATGAAATAACTACAACAGGGAGATCAGCGATGAAAAATTTATTGTAATAAATGTTCAAAATTATTTCCATTGACTTCAAGACATTTATTAATGCGATTATGAAAACTCTGACAGAGCTCCATACTCCATACCAAAANCGCATAATGAAATAACTACAACAGGGAGATCAGCGATGAAAAATTTATTGTAATAAATGTTCAAAATTATTTCCATTGACTTCAAGACATTTATTAATGCGATTATGAAAACTCTGACAGAGCTCCATACTCCATACCAAAACGTTGTACCAAAAAGCGTGATGTCTACCGAAAGGAACATAGCATATATATATAAATATATATATATATATAAACATGCTGGCATTTGGTATCAATAAACGTGTTGTCCATGTCTAAAAATTTCTTTATTTTTCGTACCCAAGGTCACACGAAGGTCATGGTACTATAGGTTATTAGATTCGTCTTGATCTTAGCTGTCATGAAATAGTGATAGAAATATATAATCCCATTTGAAAAAACATCGTTGACCTTGAAATCTCAAAAAATATGACCTTTACAAAAAAATGATTTCCACCACAACACATGTCCTTTCGAACCAAACAATTTGTTACTGAAGCATTTCCGCGTATCATTAACGATAATAGAGATATCGCTTTGTAACAGAGTCACTGAGACACCCTGTACAGTACAGGGGTGGCCAAAGCGTCGACCGCGTAACTAAATTCTCAGTCGCCCGCCTGTCTGATATTACCAATGTTTATTCCAAATTCGAACTTATTTTTGGCTTTAAATTACTACTTCCCTTACTACCTCCCTCAACACACACACGCGACCGCCAATAATTTAAATACATAATTAAACTATAATTCAAACCGCCTATAACTTAAAAATGCAGATCGTCCGTAGCGATCGAAAGTTCGGCCACCCCTGATATAGTAGAATAATATCGAATAGAGAAGAACAGCGAGAAGAATAATACAACAACGACAACAACAGCAGCAGCAGCAACAATAGCAGCAGCAGCAGCGACTTACCGATAAATTCAAGACCAGACAGTTTCCAAGTGCCTCTCTTGGTAATTATAATACTAGCGGGGCAAACGTTTCTATGGAGAATTTTACAAATTCCATGAAGAAATAGCAAGGCCTCGGCGATCTGACGCGTCCAATGGGAAGAGAGAAGAAAAAAGAGGGAATCAGAAGATGGGAAGACGCGAAGACAATCGAATCGCGCCCGCTACCCCGCGTCTCACCTGCAGCAGCCCGTACTTAATCTCGATCTCGAGCAGTTTGTATTCCTTCGCGAATGTGGTACGATGCCCGGTAGCCGAGGAGGCGTGTTTCGCGGTATTGGTCGACGGCTGATCGAGATTGCTCGTCTCCCTATAAGCTAACACGTTCGCGAGACTAGCCAGAACAGGCTCCGAGACGAATGCCAGACTGTCCGAGCATTCCTCGACTTCGTACGCCTGTCGGGGAAATAAACGACAAATCACCAGAAACTCTTGCCCAGTCGCGAGTTCTCGGTTGCCAGTTGCCCATCATCGCGAGTCGCGAGAGGTTTAAATTCCCCCGGCTTACCTGAAGTATCTTCTTATGGCTGATGCACTCCATCTTCAGCGCGCCTTTCCGCAGAATATCCGTGACCATCTCCTTCCGTTTCGGCTTGCACAGCTTCTCGACCGATCTCTTGTCGAACAGAAATATCGAGACCTCCTGGAAACCACGGATGAAAACCGGTCACGGTCACTGTGTCATGGTCGCGCGATTTAGGTCACGGCCACGGTCGGCACACGGTCACCGTGTCAAGGTTACGCTAATCGCGAGCCGCTCGTCTCGACGACGACGAATCCGTCTTTCTTACCTTCTTGTCCTCTTTCTTGTATCCATCGTAAATACGCCAAGCGTTTTCGGGTCCCGCGGTGGCCGACTGCTCCCCCACTTCGTAAATATTGTTCAGAGGATTCGAGAGGAGAACGCTCGGCGTTGATCCGCTTGCCTTCGACTTCGGGAACATGACGTGTCTCGCGATGATTGAATCCTTAAACGTTCATCGAATCAACGGAATTCCTCTCTTCGCGTCTTCCCGGCACTCTCGACTCGCCCAATTCGAACTGTTACACCGAAGACCGCGAGTCTCGCGTGTACCTGCCACACACACACACATACACCCCAGAAAATCGCTTTTCTCGCGACAACAGATTCAATCGAACCGAAAGGAGAACCTAACGGCCGTATAAATTGTCGCGAACGACGCGACTTCCCTGTCTTCTCGTTCCATCGGTTTTTCCTCGACCCTCCGCGCTTTCCGTACGATAGATACTCCGCCCGCGAAATCCACGGCGAGCTGAATGAACGAAACTGCGACTTTTACGATCTCGAAAATCGTCGATCGAACACCGTTCGCCGATTGAAATCGGATCGACCGTTTAATACCGCCAACGAGAGCCGCGCTGGGAGCCGAAGGATCAAAGTACGGCGTAAAGTCGGATTACGTTTGCGGATCGTCGAATCCGGCCGTAAGAGCGGCGGAGAGGGTGGTGAAATTGCTCGGACTTTCCGTGCGGATAAGAGAAAGAAGTCGGCTTCCTCGAGATGCGGTCGATCGTTCGTGGGGGAAGAGGGTTCGAGGAGGACGACGAAAGAAAACGGGAGTCGGGGTCGATTACGATTTAATCCATTCTGCAGCCGCAGGGGAAACTGGATCGATCCCGAGTTTAGTCCGCGTTCGGAGGGGTCGACGTAAGACGGCGAGGAAACGTTTTCTTCTATTTTTTTTTATCTCTCTACGATCGAACGTACGCGATCCGCGTCTTCGTCGAGCGAGAACCGTCGGATGAAACGCATCGAACGGACTACGCGGACTCGCGTATGTCGCGAGTATTATACATCGGCCAGGACAATTTAACCCGGATCGGAGAAAAGAAAGTTAAAGTCCGGATAGGAGAGAGAGTCGACGTAGATGTAGGAGAAGGAGATAGAAGAGGAGATAGAAGACGGGAGAGGAAAGCGAGTCGACCAAGAAGAAAGAGCGAGTCGATTCGCGAGAGCGAGAATGGCTCACCTGTTGCCTTAGCGAACGAGAACCGTGCAGCTCCGCATAGAAGCACTAGAAGCGGCACCAAGAAACCGAAAGAAGGGTATAATGTGCGCGATGCGCGATCACTCGGGGCTCGGGGCTCGGAGCACGCGCGCGCGCCACTCGGAAACCCGCTGGGAACCCACTGGGAACCCGCCAGGAATCCAAAGGAACGGCCGGAACGAGCAGGATCACGCAGGACGCGCGATTTCACCGCGATTCCATCGATTCAAATTCACCCACTACCGACACCATCGCTCTCCTCCCTCGGTTCCAACGAGCCGTGTACTCCCCGTCGTCCCTTTCCCTCGGTTCCCGTGCCTTTTTTACTTTCTGCTTCAGCGTAGCTGAAACGCGTCGACGATCGCATTCCTTTTCCTCGTCCTTACGCAGCCCCTTCGTCGTCGTCGTCCTCGGTAGATGCTGTCAACGTCACCGGCTACGTCGACGTCGGCACTGACGTCGTCGCTTCGCAGACATCAACGCGTTTTCACCCTCTCCGACCCGCTGCCCTCCGGTCCCGATTCGTCCTCGAGGATCGCGTTATCGATATCGCACAAATTAACGGTGTCGTCATTCGACGCGAGGAACTTGCAACCAGGTGATAAAGAGACGCATGCGCGCTCGCCCCGGTCCCGGCTGCGGCTCTTTGACCACGACCTCGGTTTTTCACGAGCTCCTGTTCCGCGGCTTCGAGCACGGTCCTTGCTGATCCTGACGGCGCGGCCCGCGCAGTTCTGGTTAGGAGGAACCGCGATGGTTCCTGGCGGGACATATACTCTCTGGCTACGGTGGAGCTACGTAGAACGTTGAAACGCGAGGCAGGAGGCAGCCACGGTTCGTGGGAACACGTTCGTTCTAGCCCCGAATCTAGGCACCAGGTGCTATGGGTCGCGGCTTTTAGGATACGGATCGCACCTATGGGACACGATCAGTAAAGAAAGGAAACGGAGGGAGGGAGAGGGCCGGCGAGAGGGAAAGGGAAAAGGAAAGAAAGTGGGAAAAGCGGGGTGGGGGTGCAAGGATATGGGGAATGAAAATAGATCCAGCTGCTTTTCTTACCTGAACCCTAAATGTTTCAACGTTTGAACTGTAATGCCTGAAAGCGACCGGTTTGTATTTACTTTGAAAAATAACGGGACAGCATTTGTCGAGACGTTGCAGAATTTTTATTACGGAATACAACTTGAAAGATAAATTATTAATTAATTGAAAGGTTGAATTATCCGGGAAACGCATCTGAGAGTTCCTCGCATTAACATTATATTATACTAAATATATTAAATATAATATATAATATACTAAATACTTTTTATCCGTAATAGTTATTGGAAAGGTAGATAACAATTTAATAATTTTATATATACATATTTTTCCATCAAAATCGCTAAAGTTCACCAAATAACAGAAATACTACTTTCAAATCATTTACACGCATGTATTTTGGTTGCCTATAGCTGTATACATATCGTCTATTCTTGTTTTGTTATTTCACATTCATTTTTTTACACGAATCGACGTGTCCAGAGATTGATTTAATATATGCGATTGGCTTGTTTATGTAGCTTGCTGATGTTCGTAATAACGGTCCGCATTTTTTAAACGTATTTGAACGTTGTATTGTATAAAAAGACAAGGACGGGAAATGTATCATCCTCGCATAGGCAACCAGGTATCCACGCACGTATTTACTGTACCTCCTCTAAAGTATCTCGCATTCTGAAAGTATCCGGAAACCGCACTGAACGTCCATATTTTTGAGATTATTACATCGATTTATAGTCCAAAAAAATAGCAATCTATACAAAAGTCTTAAATACTAAAAATTTGAAATATTTATTTTGTTGCCTATGCAAGTCTAAAGAGTACTGTGAAGCGAATTTTTCAGCTTTATCGGAACACAAGTGATTAGCTTGTGGTGATAATCGAAGACCTAACGATTATATAAATTACGGGCTACAATGACATACACTGAGATAATGAGCGAACGACGATCCGTTTCATTGGTCGACTAAATCAAACGTCGATTTTTCAACGATTAATTATTTGTTGATCAGGAGTTGACGAACGATTCGATTAATCGATTAAATCAATCGCCGATTTGTTGACGATTCATACTTCTTTTAATCAACGATAGACAATTAATTTTATCAATCGATCGTATCAATTTTATGATGATTAATTTATTTAATCGTAAGCATTGATCAATCAATAAAACTAAAAATTTTAATCGATTAATGCTCAACTCTGCGATTATGTGTACTTCATGCGCGCCATGCCGCCATCTTCCCCTCACCCTTGGATCCGAGAGACATACACGCGCAAACAGCCTAGCACACAGGCACGCACACACCGTCGGACAGCACTGTTTCCGTTAACCCAGGTTTCAAAGCATTTGTTCTGAACGCGGTATCACTAGATATCTCTCTAGGAGAAAAAAATTACAATTGATTTCGATTTTCTCGGCCCGAAGTGTGTTCACGTGTCTTGACAAAACGGCGTACGGATAACGTATCGTTGGCTCGTTCAGTTTCGTCTCCCCACTACGTCGGTAACTTCTCACGCGCTCTCTCGTTCCTGTCATCGTCTGTTTCAACTGTCATAGTCGCTGCACTAACGCCATCAACCCTTGGACGTTTTCCTTGTTTGCTTTTAGACAGTAAATAAGATTCGTTTGTTCCCTGCATGGGAGGCATTAATTCCCGGACTATGGACATCGAACATGATCGTGGGCTGGCCGCTGTCTTGCAATATTTGATACGCAGGTTGGTTGAACATCATCTCGTCGTCGTCGAAAGATTTAACATCGTCGTGGATCTTTTCCTTGGGCTACGCGTGTGTATGTGTGCGTGTACGTGCTCGTGAACGTGCGACAGAGAATCGGGACGTGAAAGAGAAGAAGAGAGACACGCGATGCGAGAAAAAGAGATGGAGAGGAGAAATCTAGTCATTATGCGTTTTAAGCGATGCAAAATATTCCAAAATCTCGAATGAAACCTCGTTTTTCTCGATGATGCTGTTCGTCCCGAATTCACTTTCTTGCTGCGAAATATTAAACGAATCTCTCGAAAGTGTTTCGCACTTTCAAAACATCCCAACCTCACTTATTCATTTCTCTGCTCGAGTTGCGACAACATCGAAACGTTTAACATTTTCTCATTGATTCTTTGCAGCGGACAACTACACATCATATCCTCGGATCACGATGACTCGGACGAAGAATATGTCGCGAGCTCGCAACCGCCAAGATTCACGTCCCATTTACATTTACATCCAAACACATCCAGACTAGATGTTCGTTCAATTTTGAATACATCACGCTATTAAGTCGCCGACATGGTTTCACGTTGTGTGTGTGTGTTTCCTTTTAGAAAAGTGAAATAAGTCTAGCTACCAAGCAGGCTTGCGGATTTGTTAGCGATGTCGACAAACGCAACATTTCTATTGCGTCCATGATCCAAAGGAGAACCCTGGGCCCTGGTTTCAGCACAGGAGAAAGATGCAGAATAAGCAGTAGTTTTTTGCCAAACAAAATGCATCAGGTTGCTAAATACAATGCTAAAGCTTTTTGTGGATCTTATTCCCAAGATGGAAGATTTTTCTTAACGGCCAGTCAAGGTAAGATCGTCGAGCTCGTTTCCTGTATATTTAGTTTCTTCGTCTTTCTCTAACGGCTCTCATTTGTTGTAGATAAGTTTTTACGTCTTTATCGAACGCACGATGGTGACTTCACAGAGTTCAAGACAATTTTAGCTCGAGACGTAGGGTGGAGTATTTTGGACACTGCTTTTAGTCCCGATGGGAATTATATTGTATATTCTAGTTGGTCAGAATGTTGTGAGTAGAATCTAGTAAAAGATTTTAAAGGTCTTCCATATACTCCTAGAATATTATCAGACTTCTGTTTTTCATCTGCTTTTAGTATATTTGTGTCCTGTTTACGGAGATTCATGCGCACAAGAATCGCTACCTCTGTGTCCAGAAGACCGAAGGTTTTGCGTGTTCTCTCTAGTGTTTTCTAGTGACGGTCGTGAAATTTTGGGCGGAGCAAACGACGGTTATCTCTACGTCTACGACAGGGAATGCCATCAACGTGCATTTAGGGTTCGTAAGCTTCTTCCTTTATTTGCATTGTACACCGCTAATTGTTCATGTTCCTTTTAGATCGAGGGCCACGACAATGATGTGAACGCAGTGGTATTTGCCGACAACACGTCGCAAATTCTATACAGTGCTGGCGACGACGGTCTCTGTAAGGTATCGTCGACATTCTTTAACGAGCCGAAATTCTTTGCTTCATCTTCTACAACTTCTTTTCTGTCTTTTTCTCGTTCTTTCCTTTCATCCACTACATTTGAATCGTTTCATTATCGTTTCGTTTTCTTGTCTTCTCGTTATTATTTCTCTCTTCGCGCGCGCTCTTTCCCTCTCCCCCCATTTCTTGGCTTATTTAGGTCTGGGACAGGAGAACGTTGAACGAATCGAGTCCACATCCGGTGGGAGTACTGGCTGGCCACATGGACGGGATCACGTACGTCGATCCACGCGGTGATGGTCGATATCTCATCACAAACAGTAAAGATCAAACAATCAAGTTGTGGGACGTGCGCGCCTTCTCGGATCTTATGGGTGAACTGAACACACGGAAAGCTGTCGCGAATCAAACTTGGGACTACCGATGGCAACGTGTACCAAAGCGAAGCAAGTATCCGTCCAACAACCTACAATTTCGACGAGCTTGTTCGTATTACAAAATTAATAATCGATCTCTCTTTATCCTAGTTCACAAAGCGAAACACATGCTGGAGGGTGACACAAGCATCATGACATACCGTGGGCACTCGGTACTTCAGACTCTTATACGTTGTCACTTTTCTCCCTCCTCCATAACCGGACAGAGGTACATATACACAGGATGTGCTGCTGGCAGAGTAATAAGTATGTTTCGTTTTACTATTTATGAAACAGCGAACTTGTGCACTGTCAGCAAGGGAATACAGCAACGTGTTTTAATTACAGTTTACGATGTACTAACGGGCAGAATAGTTAGCACATTGGGAGAACATTCGGGATGCGTGCGCGACGTTAGTTGGCATCCTTTCCATCAGGAGATTGTTTCGACTGCCGTAAGTATTCGTCGGTAACGCTTTAACTATCAGCTGATGCCTGATAACGTAATATTTCACAAAGTATCCCATTTCTTATTATTAATGTAACTTATGGAATCTTTTTAGTGGGATGGAGCGGTTATCAGTTGGCGATACGCCGGCAAGACCGCACTAAGTAATTCTGATTCTGAAGATGAAAGGGACACAGAATCGCCTCCGTTGAGGCGTAGTCGACGAATAGCTGCTCAAAGGGCGAAACGCGCCACTCGACCCTGTTGAGTCTCATAGTCGTTCCGCCGAGTAACTGGATCTTTTCGGAATCAATTCAGTCTTTTCGTTCCTACGAGGAAGGAGTTAGTGCTCGGTACATGTCGACAGGATATTTTTGTATCGATCGCTGTTACTCATCGACATTCAGGAGACTAACTTTCTTCTACAAGACTGAGTTATTGCTGAATGAACGCGGACCTCTATGAAGTCAACGTCGTGATATTTTGGCCATACCGATGGCACGTTACCGGGACAAGACTTAAACAACGTTGAAAATGAAACCGGGACATGATCCGAACCAAAAAAAACTCATTTTCGACGGACCCAACTTCCTGTGTCTTGATATCGGACAATTGCTTTCTTCCCTTTCCTTCTCCCTTCCTGTTTTTTTCTCTCCCGCAATCCCGTTCCCTCGTATCATCCCTCGTGCCACCTTCGCAATTTTCCTTTCCCCTCTGCAGAATTTTAAGCGTACCCATTGTAAAACTACAAATCTAGATAATTAAAAATTCATTCTTCCGCAACGAAACGATTTGTTTCTTTACGTTTATTTCTTACGCATCATTTCGATCGGTTGAATCAGAGTTTTTATAAAAAAAAAAAAGAAAATCACCGCGTTTGTAATCGTATTTGACCGACCCTTGTTTACGATTACCAGAAAAAACATGCCAATAGTAGTTCAACACCAAATGGCACAGGAAAGGAAGGACGAGAAACGAGAAAAGGAACGAATTGTCGACAGAGATGTTGGTGGTTTTTACAGCGTCGTTGCGTTTCAAACCGATTAGAAGTAAAAAGACAAATGATCGTCTGTCAATTTACACACAATGTGTTATCCTGTAAGATACATTGACAAGATTGCGTACCGATTTCCAAAAATGTGTATATATATATATATATCTGTATGTATGTATGTGTATATATATATATATATTTACGCAAAACACGCAACCTCGGAATACAGACACGATGCATACACACACGAATACGAGCGCGTATAACTTACAGTGTATACTAATAAATTGTTAAAATATAGAACCTGTGTTATCCATCTTCTTCGACGAACAAACGCGATGGATTAGCAGCAGGCTTATAAAGAGTACAATAGCCTGCCCATTTTTTTTTAGTGCCTGCATCTATACGCGTAACTGCATACATGATGCAATCCGTGAAGGTCCGTAGGAAGCCGTAAAAAAAGGTACCATATACCGTTCTTTGTCCATGTATAGTCATGAAAGAGGCGCATTTGGAAGCCAGAATAATGGCCGGTTGTGCGATAGAAAGTGCACAAGGTTTCTTCATACTCGCACGCATAATCATGATACGACCAGATACATTTTTACAACGCTATCCACCGTCTGTTAATCCGACCCTCTCACGGTTACCTTTCCCTTTTCGTCGCGTATCGATTTCCTCGGTCCGATCACTGTTTATACCAATCTAATTAAGAGAAAAATCAACGGCAAATAAAACAACTTGGGAAAATCAACCGAGAAACATTCGTCTGTAATAGTTATCCGATAGTATATGCAAGTGTCGGTAAACCGCGACACAATCCGCGTAAGTGGTCGCAGCTACATTTCCTTAAATGGAGCATAACAAAAAGAGCAATAAGATTACGAAAGCATAATTGTGCATTTGTGTTCAGAATTTAATGTGTGCGAGAAAAAGGATTTGCTGGAACGCTAATAACAAGGCTAATACCTAATCGCTCCTGTCGAGCTACGCTTTAATGCTGGTGCTTTAATGCTAGAGTTTTGAGAATTGTAAGAACGAGAATTTTGTATCGTTTTATCAAAATAACCAGACGTACCTTAAGATTCTGCGCGATTCTTTTTTTATCATAACATTTGTTATATACATCGAATCCTGAGAGCGAGTCTCTATAATCACAGGCTGACTTTGAAACCCGTTCTGGCAGTGATTGAAACTACTGTGGGTGTAGAAAGTATTCGTACAGCAATCAATTTCAACACAAAAACATTATAGAACTTCGTTTATTACAACATACGTATCCTTTGAAATCTTCGAAACAAATGTCATATAAAAAAAGAAATTGTTTATTTATATTCTTTATGAAACTGTTAACAAAACTCTTAAATATAGATGAAAATGTACGCGTAATAAGTATTCGTACACTTCCAACTTTACAACAACGTCTCGTAATTTTTATGCATACACATAACAAGAATCAACTTATTTGTTATTCTAGTATTTAGTTGGATTTCCTTTAGATCGTATAATCGCTATAAGCCTTCGTGACATTGACTTTACTAATTTTCTGGTAATTTCCACAAAATAGTATAGTATAGTATAATTATACTACTACTAGTATAATTATACTACTATAATTATACTACTAGTATAATTATACTAGAAATGTTATTCCATTTTTATAGTAGTGCGTAATAAGTATTCGTACAGTTACTGTTCCATGACGCTTTCCCTTACAATATACATGATAATTACCTAGTAATCTGTTTAATGTCAACAGAAATATCATAATATTAATAATTAGTATAATATCATATCATTAGTATATCTAGAGACCTTAATATACATATTATAGACCGAAGTCTACAATTCGTAGGCATCATTAACAGGTATAGAAATCGAAAAACGTTAAGGAATAAAGCAAAAATGAATACATCGACCGATGGATAATTCGTAAAATAAAACAAAATCCAAAGATTAGTGCGGTAAAAATTGCAGCTGAACTTAAAAGTACCCTTACTGAATAGAGGATATCATGGATATCAGAATAGCTCGTAAGAAATATTTTGTAAACGAAATTAATAGGAAGAAACGACTGCAACTCGCAAAGGAATATGATAAACGTTCCAATGGAATATTGGAACCGTGTAATATTTACCGATGAAGATAAATTTAACATATTCGGATCAGATGGACGATGTACGGTATGGAGGAAAAAAGAATACCGAGCATGAAAAAGAAAACTTGCATGCAACTGTGAAGCACGGCATAGGATCGGTCACAGTTCGGGGTTGTATGAGTGCGAATGGGGTTGGATCCCTCCATTTTATCGATGGTATCGTGGACCATAAATTATACGTTGATATTTAAAAAAAAACATATCCAAGCTAGTGCAAATAAAATGCTACTACAAGACAACTATATCTTTTTACAAGACAATGATCCAAAGCATAACGCTTATAATACAAGACAATGGATCCTGTATAAGTTAAAAATCCCTTCGCAGTCTCCAGACATAAACGTCATAGAGCGCTTATGGAGTCGTCTCGAAGACAAAATTCGAAATCGCCATATTTTTTCAAAAAGAGATTTAAAAAATGCGCTGCTGCAAAAATGGAATAACATTTCTAGTACAATTACTAGAAAATTAGTAAAGTCAATGCCACGAAGGTTTATAGCGATTATACGATCTAAAGAAAATGCAACTAAATACTAGAATAACAAATAAGTTGTTTTTTGTTATGCGAATGTATAAAAATTAAGAGACGTTGTTATAAAGTTGAAAGTGTACGAATACTTATTACGCGAATATTTTCATCCATATTTAAGAGTTTTGTTAACAGTTTCATAAAGAATATAAATAAACAATTACCTACAATTCTAGTACAATTACCAGAAAGTTAATAATGTCAATGTCACGAAGCCTCATAGCAATTATACAATCTAAAGAAAATCCAACTAAATACTAGAATAACAAGTAAGTTGATTTTTATTACGCGTATGTATAAAAATTACGAGACGTTGTTGTAAAGTTGAAAGTGTACGAATACTTATTACGCGTATGTTTTCATCCATATTTAAGAGTTTCGTTAACAGTTTCATAAAGAATATAAATAAACAATTTCTTCTTTATATGACACTTGAGCCGTTTATTTTGAAAGTGACATAAGTCGCTTTTTCAAAAAAATCGAGTTAATGGTAACACTAATTACAATTGAACGGTATCTTTTCATTTAAAAAAAAAAAAAAATTGACTTATGCCACTTTCAAAATAAACGGCTCATTTGTTTCGAAGATTTCAAAGAATATGTACACATCCTTTTTGTTATAATATGTTTTCGTAATAAACAAAGTTATATAATATTTTCGTTGAAATTGATTGCCGTACGAATACTTTCTACACCCACTATATATCACGATATACACAGCGTTCACGCGTTCATCAAGTATTGTACTCTTTCCAATGAACGAGAAACGATTGATTGCCGCCGTCCGACAAATTGATAACCGATGTCAACGTTATCGTGTCCGATCGAAGCGAAACTTCTCTCCGCGGTTGACCCGATAGACGCGAATTCCGAGTTAGAAGCGCGAACGGCGAGGAGAAAAAAATTGTCCCGATCCAGTTCGCCGCGAGCGGGTAGGCGAGTTCGCAATGTAGTCGGGCGATCATTCGTATGCGCTCGGAAAGATATGTTTTCCCTGGAGTCTGCGGCGCTTAATTAAAAGAAAATAAATATCGAAGGAACGTTAAGGGTCTGCGCGACGATATTATTGCATCGCGGAACCAACGTCGATACCGATGACGAATGCCGGTGCCGGTATCGATGACGATGATGATGGCGATGGCGATGCCGATTGCAATGGTAGCACAATGTACATGCATTCCTAACCGAAACGCCGGGGAATTCTTTTTTCCCCTTGAGGTGACTCGGCTATCCATGCCGCACAACTCTGCTAATCGATGGAAGTCGATAAAAGGTAGATTAGACAGACTTACGGTCTTCGTAACAGGGAGACACCGATCGTAAGTCGTCAGTCGCGCGACACTCATCGCGGTTAGAACGACGTCCAGAACTGTTGTTGTTTCCCGAATATCCTGCAAGTTGTCGCGAATCATCCGCATCTCGTATACCGTATATCGCCGGTTTTTCTCTCTCTCTTTTTTTTTCTCATCGAGACAGAGGACCCGCGCGCATTCTTTTCTGTGATCGAAATCAAAACATCGGCCGAGAGACCGAAGCAGTCATAAGCGCAGGTATGCTCGCTGGACGCGAAATCTGTGCTTTCTGCTTCCGTTCGTCATTTTCGTGGATTTTCCCATCGTTTATTTTTATAAGAAAAAAATAAGACTGCGGATCTTCGCGGAAGGGAAACATTTCCCGAAGCAATTGCAGTAATGTCTCCCTAACTGACGTTCAAGTTGTGCAGAAAAATGGACAATTTGCGAGGAGGAGATACGATTATTCGAGCCCTGCGGCTCGTTTTTATGGGTTTTTATGGTCAAGATTTATGAAATCGAGCCGCACGGCTCTGATAATCGTAGCTCCTCTTCCGAAATTGTCCATATTTCTGCAGAATCTGTGCGTCAATTAGAGAGACATTATAATGCACAAGCGAGCGGAGCCGAGTTATGTTCGAGCAGTATTTGTCGCGTGACATTTCACGCGGCCGTATTTGTTGCATACGCGATCAAATCCGCGGTCTAATAATAGTAGATCTCTTTACGAGCCGAGCTTTACCAGAAGTAAAACAAAGCATAAGTTGCGAAACGAAATCGGCGAAACATTTGCGCGGCCGATTCGCTGCATTTCCCCACCCACCATTACGTACGCGGCTGATAATCAAACGAGGACGATGCATTTGATTTTTAATGCGCGCCGTAATCTTCGTAGATTTACAATCGGTTCGGTGAAAACAGCGAGATGAGGAGACGAATCGGAGCGTCGTTAACTACGCCGAAAACAATCGAACCGCGTCGCGCGGAGAAATTATACGTGCATACATATATCGGTTTGGGAAAAGGGGTAAAACTCGCGTTGACGGGAACAAGTGACGCCGCGGGATTTCCCGCATTGACAATTGAAATCGTGAAACAAGAATAATCATTTGATAATCGTTCGCAACAGGTATCGTCTGCAACTACGATGACCACGCTGGAAAATACTTCAGAAGGTACACGCGAGCCGAACGATATTGGAAGGAGGCATGCGATTCCTGTCATTTACACGAGAGGCAGTCATTACGACATTGGTTTCGATATCGTAAGAATATTCAATCTCTTTGATCGAATTCGCGCTCGCAATTATACACATGCTAGCCACGTGCACCACTGCACAGCTACGTTAGCGGAACGGTGTGCGTGCAAATACCTGTTCAAGTAGCTTATTTCATCGTTAAAAATTAACCAACTACATTGACCATAAAACGAGAAGAAAAAAAAACTCATTAAGAAACGGAGTTAGCGGTTACATAAATTATTAACGAGATAATGGCAACGATTGTCTTTAAAGATACGAACGGAAACGACGTAGACGCAGTCGCTTGGAGAAAATCTCAATGACTCCATATACGCGTACTTTCTGTTTCGATTACTCGGAAGGCATTGATTTACAGTAATGTCTTTCTAATTGACGCTCGGATTGACCACAAAAATGGACAATTTGGGAGGTGGGGATACGATTGTTCGAGCTTTGCGGTTTTGTTTTTATAGTCACGAATTGTCAACGATTATATAAATGAACCGCAAGGATCGAATAATCGTATCTCCTTTTCACAAATTGTCCATTTTTGTGGACAATCTGAGCGACAATTAGAGAGACATTACCGTATACCAGTCGTATAATTGAACGGTATTTCAAAGTTAATCAAATTAATGCAATGAAATGCCCTGTTCGCCCTCCAGACAGAAATGCTTCGGGCAAAAAGTGTGCAAAACTGAAAAGATTGATAACGAATTCTTGAAAAGTATTAATATTGTTAATAAAATATTAACATTGTACGTTTCAAAACTAACGTCGAATATGAAAATGAACAAATTTCGTGCGTGTCCAGTAAAATTGGAACACCGCAATTATGAAGCATGATAATATACTTTCATACTTTCGAATACAAGAATTCTCTTTCGATATGCAGTCATGTCTCTCTAATTGACGCTGAGATTGCGCACGAAAATGGACAATTTGAGAAGAGGAGATGCAATTATTCGAGCTTTGCGGTTTGTTTTTATAGTCACGATTATAAAAATGAACCGCAAGGATCGAATAATCGTATCTCCTTTTCCCAAATCGTCCATTTTTGTGGACAATCTGAGCGACAATTAGAGAGACATTACCGTATACCAGTCGTATAATTGAACGGCATTTCAAAGATAATCAAATTAATGCAATGAAATGTCCTGTTCGCCCTCCAGACAGAAATGCTTCGGGCAAAAAGTGTGCAAAACTGAAAAGATTGATAACGAATTCTTGAAAAGTATTAATATTGTTAATAAAATATTAACATTGTACGTTTCAAAACTAACGTCGAATATGAAAATGAACAAATTTCGTGCGTGTCCAGTAAAATTGGAACACCGCAATTATGAAGCATGATAATATACTTTCATACTTTCGAATACAAGAATTCTCTTTCGATATGCAGTCATGTCTCTCTAATTGACGCTGAGATTGCGCACGAAAATGGACAATTTGAGAAGAGGAGATGCAATTATTCGAGCTTTGCGGTTTGTTTTTATAGTCACGATTATAAAAATGAACCGCAAGGATCGAATAATCGTATCTCCTTTTCCCAAATCGTCCATTTTTGTGGACAATCTGAGCGACAATTAGAGAGACATTACCGTATACCAGTCGTATAATTGAACGGCATTTCAAAGATAATCAAATTAATGCAATGAAATGTCCTGTTCGCCCTCCAGACAGAAATGCTTCGGGCAAAAAGTGTGCAAAACTGAAAAGATTGATAACGAATTCTTGAAAAGTATTAATATTGTTAATAAAATATTAACATTGTACGTTTCAAAACTAACGTCGAATATGAAAATGAACAAATTTCGTGCGTGTCCAGTAAAATTGGAACACCGCAATTATGAAGCATGATAATATACTTTCATACTTTCGAATACAAGAATTCTCTTTCGATATACAGTAACGTCTCTCTAATTGACGCTAAGATTGCGCACGAAAATGGACAATTTGGGAAGAGAAAATACGAAATATTCGAGCCTCGCGGTTCGTTTTTATAGTTACGAATTCGCGACAATTATAAGAACGAGCTACAAACAATCGTATCTGCTCTTCCCAAATTGTCCACTTTTGTACACAATCTGAGCGTCAATTAGGGAGACATCACTGTACTGCCTATCCACCGATCAACCTTCACAAGCGAAAAAAAGAGCGTAGATGTTATCCGAATTTCCTCGAAAAAATTTTCTGTCATCGATTGTCGTCGGATATCTCTGCAGCATCCTGTCACGTGTTCAAATAGAAAATCCTCGGAAATGTCGGCAGAACGCGCGGCGTCTATTCGACGGTTCGATCGCTGGCTCGCGTCAAAGACGTACGCGAATTATTCTCACACCTTGTTTCCGAGACATTGAATACGTTGCGCAACTAGTATTCTACGTTATATAATATTTGTACTAAGGTACTGGCACGCGGTTGGCTAAAATCTGCTCGCACAGCATGTGACGTTTTCTAATAACGCGCGTTCGTCGAACGTCGCGGCGCGCGATGTGCGGCGGCTTATATCGAATTAGCCGTTGCGTTCGAATCGAGTCCAACTCGATTTCTTTGCGGTCCTTCAAGAAATGCTATGTGTTTTCTGACAGGGGCGCACGTTCTCCGGGCTGATACAGTCGTACTTAAATATCTATAAACCCCTGAACGAAACGTACCTGCCGCTGTACGAGACCGAAGCCGGCAGGAAAGTGTACGAGGAAACTCTTAGCTGCGTGGAGCAACAGTTTCCCGGCTACCTCAGGGAAATCCATGGAACGGCCGACGGAGCGAACGTTCCTTTTCATAAGGTAAATCGGCGGCGGGTGTTCGATCGACGCGAACGATTCCTTTCTCATGCGCACCTTCTCGAGACGACCCGATTTACAGTGACTCCACGAAATAAGTTCACGATTATCGAACGTATTTAATGAAATTGTAACAGTCGAAATAATAAAAAAATATATATATAAAATGTTAAAAAAAATAATTATAATAAGATAAAATATAAAATATATAAATAACATAAATAATAAAAATATCGATGATTTTTCGAGAATTGGAAATTTAGCGAACGAAAACTTTCTGGAGCAACTGTTCGTTGGCTTGCCTCAAGCCTGCGTGCGCCTGTGTTCGCGCGGTTCAAGTCCCGATTATATATGGCTTCCGGTTCGCAGTTGTTTCTGATGCACCTGGACGACATCATCCCAAATGTGGCTAACAATCAGAATCGAGCAAACGATCTACCAGTCGGTTGCTCGACTATTATGTGCAATCAGCCGGGACAGGTAAGCGAACTGATCGACGGGAGCAGCGGTTTTTAGTCATGTGACTAAATTTTCAAGGGCTCGAATTAACCTTTTAGGCACGACGCGCCACTATAGTGGCTTCCGCGGATGTCATCTCTCTGAACGACGCACTACTATAGTGGCTTACTCTAGTAGCTCACTCGGTCATCGTTCGAATCAAATAATCGTCTTCATATGCATTGTTTCACACTTCTTTTGTCTTCACACCGATTTACAATATACAGACTTATCTTAACAATATAACTGAATTTTAACAATATACAGACAGAATATACAGACACTCTGTACAGTACATATCAGACTCTGCCGTCCAGAGAAATAACCCGCGCAGAATTCAGCCGTACCTAAAAGGTTAAAGCTGGTAGATCACTATGTAAGATAGATCCATTTACGATCGTGGACAAATTCGTAATCGCGTCGAAAAATCGTTCACTGTCGGATCATTGGACAACAAATTAATTTTTATTATCTATATTTCATTATAGATGTATTAATTGATTATTCTTTGTTATCGCTGCAACTTAAATATTGAGGGCTGGAAGAATATTCTGAGGAAATAGAAATGTTCAGACGACTCTCCTGTGTCTGCATCGTGTGAATGAAATTTTATTTGCTGTTGCTAATATAGAGAAAAGATGGTTTTCGCCGCTTTTACCGTAAGGTTAAATATAAAATCCGGCAAAAGTCAACTTATCATTATCAGCTGTTATCAAAAGTGATTGCCGATCATTTTTAGCGATCAGTTTGAGCGTTTTGTCACTAGGATAATTGGCGCTATACGGATCCCCGAACGAGTCTTGAAATTTTGTCATTAGAGGCGCTACTATCGCTGATGCAATTCGCTCTGCTGGTATCATCTGGCTAATAGTTCGAGCATTTTGCCATTTACTAATTGGCGCAGTATGAATCCTGAATAGAACTTCTTGATTTCCCTACCAGAGGCGCCGCTCTCGCTCCAATAAAAATTGTTTCATGCCGGATTTACCATAGTATCTTATAGCAAAAACGGCAAGAAATTATTTTTAACGACAAATAAATTTCTTTTTGCATGATACATATGCAGGAGATTTTTCTGAATATTCCTGTGCCCTCAAAATATATTCTTGACCTCTGGTTTTACACATTTCATGCCATTTATATATATATATATATTAATATATATAAATATAAATAAATATATATATATATATATATATATATATATATATATATAAAATATATATTTATCACAATGTCACAATGATATAATAAAGGGCATGGATGGACGTGATTCGGATCTCAGCATACCGAATAATTGGATTGCAGTTCTATTTTTGTCCCCATTATCATTTCAACGAAAGTAACAGGTTTCCTTTGATCACAGTCCATCTCTCTTTCTCTATGAAAATTATTGAATTATCTCTCCTATATTCCAATACAGGAAATTTTAGGGCACAATGAGGACGCGTTGAGCGAAACTTTAAATCATTGGTACCTGGTTTCCGCGCACTTAGTCGAGCCAGGCTGCAAAGAAGAGAAATTCACATCCTTGAGTTATGCAGGATTTTTGCCAGGATATACAATGGGTTACAATTGCCATGGGCTCGCTTACAGCATCAACACTTTGAGTGCCGCGCGTCTACGGTCCGGTAAAACGCGTGCGTATTATTCTTTCGTTTACACTGTATATCTCTCTATCGTATCGCAGAGATAAATTCATTTAAATTGGTACCGAATATCGCTTTCGCTTTGCGCAGCTAGGTATTTTTTGACTCGAGCGCTTCTGTCCGCGGAGAATTACGTTCAAGCTCAACAGATATTGAAAAACGATGGATGCGGCGCGGCCGAAGGGTTTTCGGTGAATATGACCTTCATAACGCAAGAGGGTGACCGGGTGTTCCACAATGTCGAAGTGGGTCCCTGTGAACCTGACTCCTCGTATTCGCAACTCAACGTTCTCACCATCAGCCCTGGAGAATTTACTTTCCACTGCAACAAGTGAGCATTGTGTACGCCCCCTCGCGATGCTCTCTTCTTGCGCATCATGTTACACGTTCAAAATTTTCAGATATCTTCGACTGAACGTGCCGGAAGTCACCGGCCTTATTATAGACAGCAGCGACAGAAGAATGGAAATAATTTGTAAGCATCCTCCGCCAAATAATCGCCAGAATGTTATAGATATTCTGAGCGATCAAACTACCAACGATTACAGGGTTTACCAAGACATTAATAAAGATGATCCCGTCAAAACGATCGCTACCGGTATGTTTCTCTGTTCTTTTTACAGAGATTTAATATATTATAGTATCATATTTGTTAAATATAAACGATTGTTGTTCGAATTTCGCTCGACAGGTATTTTCGATTGTGTCGAAAGGACCTGGACGGTGTACACGGACAAACCAAGTTCTTCTGAGCCAATACTAGTGATACCCATGCAGATTCATGGTCATGATTTATTATCGAATTCTGTTATGTAGTGTCAAGTTACGGAACGTTTCGTTACAGAACCGAATCGTTACTCTATACATGTATAATTAGAGCTGCTTCTGAATTTTCAAGTCGTTCGAACATAAACGACCAAATGTACAATTACATATTAATCTGTAATACGATTTATAATGTATACGATAGTTGATATACTGTTATGCTGTTCATTGATGTTATCGAACAGAATACGTTAGTTTCAACAAAAAAATAACATCTTTCCAGACTTGTTATTTTCTCTCATTGTTTTATTATCACAAATCCCACATAATTTTTTGAAGACTACGGAAATATAGTAAGCACTATATATAATAGATACAAATAATACATACAGATACAGTTGTTAAATAAAAAATATAATAAGAATATCGTGTCATAAAAGCGATCGTTGGTTCAACAAGAAATACAAAAGAAACGCTTCTAGCGTCGTATGCAACAATGAAAATTGAATTTTGATTGTATTATTTAAAAGCTGAAAATTCGTACGTTTTTTTTTACCGTTTCAACGGCAATATGTAGGTATTACAACTTTTGGCCGTTTATTAGATTCCATTTCTGAAAAGAATTCTTTAATGTCTTCTTCGCGAACAACCTTTTTGTTTTCAGCGAATTTCTGCAAGTATTGCTTCAGCCGCTCTTTCATGTTGTTGTACTCTGTTGAATATAGAACAAATAAATAAGAAAGAAGAACAAATGAAGCAACAATTAATATTTACCTTCAATGGCTGTAAGCTGTTCGACTCGGCCCAAGGAAGCCAAAGCCTTCATACCTTTCTCATATTGAGATTCTCGACTGTAGACTTTACCTGCTTCCTCATAGGCATGGACACTGTCCGTCGGATCTAAGAGAAACATAACTTTTTTCTCTCGGTAAAGCTACAATAACAAAATACATTAGAAATTTATATATTGAAAGAGAACCAAAGTGAAAGGAAATCTCACCGTTTTGCAAGCTTCGCACGTACAAAGGGCACTCCTCCAGCCTTCCGACCAAAAGCAACTTCCCTTCGAACACGTTTCGTTGTGTGGCATGGTGCAACCCTTATGCACGTTCTCGACATCCACAGGCTCGACTGCCTTTGCTTCGGACGAAGCCTTTTTCGTTGAGAATACTACAATCAAGATCAGGAACGTTTGGATGACTATTATATCAACAATAATACATATAATAATGAATGTCTGTCGATAGTTACCCGCATATTTGCTTGCATAATTCCAGAGAAAGCTATTCGCTCTCATGCAATCGGCACAAATCATCTCATCGTAAGCTTCATCCTTTGGCATGCTTTTCTCATTCTCAAGATGCTGTTCAAAATGATTTCATTAAAAATCAGATGATCAAACTGTGAGAAAGAAAATGTATGATTTACCAAAGAATGATACCAATCTTCGCAAATAACACATTGTAGCATTTCATCGTTTACTGTATCTTCTGGATCTGGATAAGGTCTTTTGCAAACACAGTAGAGTCCATCAAAGTTGTGATTGTATTGGTTCTCTGAGTTAATGGAATCTTTCGTCTGGATCGAGTAAGATAATTAGACAAGATACACTTGAACGAATGTAATAGGCGGAATGATACAATATGAAACGTACCGCATCCAAGTTACACTTTTTCCCTTCGAACTTGGAATTGCCACAATCACATCTGAAATGTCTTTTAGTATAAAGTTCAACCAGTTCGTGTCCCTCGTGACAATGGAAACTGCAAGCCAGACACACAGCTGCCCTAATTGCTTGAGGACAACAAGTTTTACAAGCGTAAAGCGCCTGTCGAGTATACCCCTGAAATAAATGAAATTCGGTTGAGCAACTGATACTTGGCACCGCGTCTCACTGCAACGCATGAATACGGTAAACAAAGTAGAAATGAAACCTTGCTGTATGTGCAATTTTTGTCATCGGATGCGCCCAGAACCGCGCAAGCATCTTCCTCTAATTGATTCTCTTCACGAAGTACGTCCAGCATCGTGACGGAATTTTCTTCATCAGCAATTTCATCGACTGCCTCAGACATTTTGTCGGTGGTGGTAAAATAATGGAACAAATTTGAATCTATACAATCGTGTCCTACGACAACTAACTGTCTATTGGAAATCTGGAAACAGGTCTACCATTTTTATTCTTGTTTTTCCTTCCAACTCGGTCAAACAGATATATGTACATACATATGTGCCGAAAACGACTTCGTACTTACTGCAGACGTGCAGGCAAAAAACAGATTTTCAAAAAGGACAGTGAAGCACGACGAACATCTTAGCACATCTCAGTTTTCGTCACTTAGTTTCGCGCCTCGATGCAATGCATGAATTTATTGAAAACACTAAAGTAGCGCCGCTTTTACCTCTTACGGATTCTTCTTAGATTTCATGTATATACATATGTATATGTATACTTCTTTTTTACTAATCAACCGCGACAAATAAATTTATCCAGATTTCGAATTTAAACTTTCGCCGTTTACATTCTTCGTTTCGACTTTTTCCTGAAGTATTCATACACTAAAATATTTATTTATTAAATACTTTACTTTACGCTATTCGATATGAATACAGAATCAACGATCAAGCTACACATACAATTACATACGGATACAGTATCCATATAGTATGTAAATTTATGTCACGGACATGGGGTTGGTATAGAAGTGTTGTTTAATAGAGTTTTGGAATCTCCGTTATTTTAAGCGCACTCTACCCTAACCCCACAGTAAACTAGTGAAATTCATAAATGTAGTTCCGAAGCTATGTTCACGGCGTGTACTTATAAACGCATGTGCATGCGCTCTGGAAATAGTGTGCACTTTCTCTGACACAACGTTACGAGAATCGGTTGAAGAGCTAATCGGCCGAAATACATATGTAAGTGTATACGCAGTGAATACGATGAAGATCTCGTTTCGAGCAATAATTTCGATTAACAGTGTCTTCGAGTCGATCGTCGAGGCAACCGTCGAACGACCGGCCGTATAGTTCACAATTCGTCATCGGCGATCGTAAATGTTTCAATACGTTCCACCAATCAAAAGTTGCATCTTTATTCCAGTTAGATTTCGCGTAGTTTCTGCACTCGTGTACGTAACTCGGTCAAAAGACAAACGAGAAATAAGACATAAAACTCTATAAAATACTACCGATGCTATTGATAGACGACGAGAGATGGCGGGCAGAGCCAACGATAGTTTACTTTTCGCGCCATCACTATGTCTAACCTGTAACAGTGTACGCGTAGCATTGTGATATTATCCCGGTGAAAAAAAGAATCGTTTCGGTTGGAAAACATCTGATTCAAGATCGATTTCTGTGACGTTTCATGCACAGCACTTGTTCCGAGAAAAATGGAAGAAGTGACAAAATGTAGATACATCGATTGCCTGGACGGTCGTGGAAAGGAGCAAATACTTCACGAACTTCCCGTTTGCGATACCAGTCTCTGCGTGAGGTGGTTGATCAACAGTGGTCACGTGGACCTAATAGGAAAAGATTTGGACACACTGCGGTCCATGAAGTTTTTCGTCTGTAACAATCACTTTACGGAGGATTGTTACCTGAGCAAGGGCACTTTGAAAGAAAATGCGGTCCCCACGGCGCATTGGAGCAATCATTCAAGAACGTTAAAAGCTACGAAGTTGCAACGGGTAAGTAATTTTCCTTCGCTCTCGCGTCATCGTGCAGTAAACTATGGATTATGCGAGTTTAAAATAAAAATGAGTAAGTGAAATTTGACGCAACGAAAACGTTCAAAAAATTCGAGAACAAATAATAATTTTCCATTCTGCCTCAATTTCGTGTAAATCGATAAAAATAATTATTTCGCGTCAAGGCCCGTACAGTCTAATCTTTAGACGTAGTATACGCGATCGATAAAATCGGGACGTCGATGACGGCGATGATGCTAAACTCCGTGCCTAACTCTGTGTCGTTGTTTTCACGTAGAAGTGTCATACGAATGGCCAAGAGAATTCAATGGAAGGCACAGTAGAAGCGAATCAAGGTTTGGCAAAAAATTGCCCTTCCGAGTTCGAAGCGAATCAGTGGTGCCGAACCTGTGCTACGAAGAAACATAATCTCGTAAGTATGACAAGCAAGGGAAAGGGCACAGAGATGAGTCTTCTGTCAAAACTAAAACTTTTGATAGAAATTGACGACGAGGACGCGCTACCGACAAAGATGTGCGACGAATGCGTCGATAAATTGGAGCAGTCTTTCAAGTTTTTCCAACAGATTTATGTAGCCGACAACACGTTGCGCCACGTGTTTCCAAATGCCCGCACGAACAACGTGTCCAGGAAGCCATTGTATTCGCTTGGCGAGCACCTGAAAAAAGAGCAAAGAGAGAAGGAGAAGGAGATCGAGAAAGAGAAACAGAAAGAAGACGAGTTAGCGGTCGGAACTCCGAGAATCACGAGGGGCTTGTTCCGACGTGGCCGAGGAAGGCCCCGAACTCGAGGATACGCCGGGAGGCCGAGAGGGAGGCAAAGATGGAGTCACAGGGCGAGTCAGATGGCGATGCCGGTTGCAAATCTTGTTGCGATTCACGATTCCAGCGTCGGAGGGCCGACGCCGCCGAAGGAGGAGCGCGAGAACGAGAAGACGTCGATCACCGAAGAGAACCAGGGCAGCACAGTCTTCTCGTTGCTGACGGATACCTGTCGCAGCGACGAGGAACTCGACTGGGCGGACGTTTTGAAGATAATGAACTGTCAAGGCTCGCACCTAGCCCCGAAATCAGTCGCCGACGAGCCGATTAAAACGGAGGTCGAGATCAAGACGGAGGAAGTCGGAGTGCAAATCCAAGTGAAGCTGGAGGCCGAGCAGCCCTCGCCCACAGAGGCGATCGAGTCGGAGGAGAAGTCGCAAATAGCCTTGGAGAAGGAGAAAGAAAGCCCACCGATCGAGCCGGCGATCGAGTCGGCGATCGGGTCAACGATCGGGCCAACGATCGAGTCAGCGATCGAATCGTCGATCCAGCTCGAACCAGAGTCGACTCAGAGCTTTGTCTGCGAAACGGCGCCGCCGCTGGAATGCAAAACCATGAACTGCGAGTTCTGCAAGGAGACGTTCAAGTCGAAGCGCGAGTTGCAGACACATCTGGCAACGATACACTCTCAGATATCCGGTCACGTGTGTACAGATTGCTCTGCTTGTTACGAGAGCGAATCGCTGCTCTCGAAGCATCGCGCGCTGCGCCACGGACAGCGAAGATACCGCTGCGAACACTGCGACACCGAGTTCCTCGAGAAAAGGGTTCTCAGGGAGCACGTGAACAAATGCCAATGGTCCGAGCGGACGTACTACTCGTGCGACTCGTGTGGAATAGCGTTCGGTTCGAAGCAAGATCTCGCCGAACACGTAAGAAGCCACGCGAAAAGTCCGGCTGCGTCGTTCCAATCGGAAAGCGTGTTCCCAAAGTCCAACTCTCCTGAACCCGATCAAAACCGAGAATCTTCTGCCGCCTCTGTCTCAGCGATAACCGCGCCTGCAGACAGCGACGTCACACTTACCAAGACGAATTCAAACGACAATACTATTCCCGGATTGAACAGCATGGAAGACACCGCGGATAAAGCAGCAGAGGAGCGTGTTCAAGCGGACGCGGAACAGTTATGTCCGAACTGTAACGAAAAGATCGAGGACAACATGGACCCGAGCGGTCATCGGACGCATTGTAAGTCGAACAAGAGAAAGGATACGTCGTGTTGCTTGATCTGCGGTAAGAAATCGTTCTCCTCGGCGGAAGAGTACGAACGGCACGCGCTCGAGCATTCGAAGCGATCCAGAATGTCGTCGCCGTCGTAGAATCAAGACGTCGCTAGGCGTTGCATGATGGAAGTGTGTTTTATTTCGACTCGTCGTCGTTGCGACATATCATCTTTCCGCGAGTCGCCGCTACCGCAGCGGCGAATTGGATTGTCCGGGGTATAGATACAAAAATTATTCGACTAACAAAATTACTCGCTAAGTACAACGTTGGCGTAAAACGTTCAAAGTGTCCCGTTGCATGAAACACAACGAACTCGGCGATAATATATATTTTCGCACGTTTCCCAAATAAAGCTGCCATATGAGTTGTCGAACTATCCGCGATCGCTGTTCGCAAATTTAACCTCGTACACGCGTCGTCGTTACGGTTTCATGTAGCAGGCAGTTTGAGGACACGTCGTTATTGGCATGTATTGCGCGCGACGACAATGCCGACGATTCGCGGGCGCAACGGTGCAAAGCTGCGTCCCTCGACTTATTTACAATGGGTCGGAATCCTAGACGACGAATTTGTAAAATTGTGCACTAATAAATACAGCGTATTTCCTTTTTGAGAATCGCGTGATTTCACGAGTAGAAACTGCTGTTCCGATCCTGGCGAGATTTCGAACGGTGCGCGCGTCGGTCGATGAAAGCGGCCATTCGTGAGGAAGGGATCGCCGCGCCGGTAGATATCTGAAACGAAAACGAATTAACGTGGCAATCGATGGATCGATCGACTTAAAAAACCTCATCCACCGTACCTGGAACCAAGGTGACGACAAACACATTCTCGCAGTCGCTCGTTCTTCCCCGCGTAGACACAGTAGCCCCCGGAGAAGGTCCTTCGCGTCGGCCGATATCTTCGCGAAGTATTCCTCGGGGAAACAGAAGTCGCATTTCAATATGTTCGTGGTGGTCTCCTCGATCGAGTCGTCCAAGAACGGCGAAAGTCCGCTGGAACGAAACGCGATGAAGCTTCGTCGGGAACAGAGAAAACCGAGCAAACGATACGATGCGATACCTTAGCAGCACGTAGATGAAGACTCCGGTGGCCCACATGTCCGTGTACGGGCCCATCGGTTTCCCGAGAACGGATTCCGGAGCCGCGAACTCTAAATCGACCGGTGGAACTACTTGGTCGACCGGCGCGGTTTTCACAGCTTCGCCGAAATCGATCAGTTTCACGACGTCCTTGTCCCGATCGATCAGAACGTTTTCCGGTTTGATGTCCAGGTGGGCTCGCTTCCGGGAATGCAGCCACCATAGCGCGGACAACAATTGACCGGTGTACTTGGAAACGGTTCCTTCCGTGTAGTCGGACTTGCTGCTGAGATACGCGAACAAACTCGAACCGTTGACTCTGCGGATTCACGGAGAAACAAGTTGAATCGATAAAGTATTAGATTGGGGAATAAGTTCGTAGCGTTTTTATATTTCGTTTTTATTTTATATTTTTATATTATTCTTTTATTTTACAACGATTTTTTGCTGTTTGACAAAGTCTACAATATTCATTCGATAGAGCTCTTTCTGCTCTACAAAACTGTGCTAACCGTCTTTTTGAGTAATTTAATTTTGTATTACTTTTGAGGCTTAGAAATGGAATATCTAGGAGGTAAAAAGCAACATTTTCGACACTTTCTCTTCTTCGCTTTTCATCGAGGCCAAAAATCTGCTGAAGCAGCCCGGAACATTTGCAACGTATACGGAGAAGGTGTTATATGCAAGTCTAAACCACGGAAATGGTTTGCGAAGTTCAAAAATGGCGATTTTGACGTCGACGACACGCCCCGCAGCGGAAGACCTTCTGAATTCGACGAAGAGCGTCTCAAAGCACTTTTGAAGGAGGACGGTCACCGAACAAGTCGTGAATTGGCCGAAAAAATGAACTGCGATCATAAAACGATTCTCAATCATCTTCATTCAATGGGATTTGCCGAAAAATTGGGAGCCTGGTTTAAATTCGAATTCAGAAGGTCTTCCGCTGCGGGGCGTGTCGTCGACGTCAAAATCGCCATTTTTGAACTTCGCAAACCATTTCCGTGGTTTAGACTTGCATATAACACCTTCTCCGTATACGTTGCAAATGTTCCGGGCTGCTTCAGCAGATTTTTGGCCTCGATGAAAAGCGAAGAAGAGAAA